TCAGAAACAAAGCTACAAAGATCATCTCGCAACATTCGACACTGAAGGAGGCCTATCCTTCACAATTATTTAGGTTAAAATACGCACCTAGGTGTGGCGTCCTTATCTCAATTGATATTTATATATGGTCTCTTCACAGAGATTTAGGCGGTTTAATATTAATATTAATATTATTATAATATTAAGGGGAAGGTTTCCTAGGTTCCCCACCATTTTTTAGCTTGATGTATTTATATGAGCTGACGGCTGTTTAGGGCGAATAGGAGAGGATTCCCCTCAAACCACCTAAATTTTGTGGATGGAGTATAAACACAATACCCACAAACCATATAAAAATATCCGTGTGAGGGTACGGAATAAATAGTTACTTGTGTAACTAGTGTACTAAGTGCTACTTTAAATAGCAAATACGTTAAATAGTTTTTATTCAGAGCTTGACTAAAAAAGTACAAAGGGAAACATGGTTAATTTTTTGTTACTGCAAAGAATACATTGGAAACATAAAATGTTTACATACATAATATACATACATGATATACACTCTGTTTTAAGTCATTTGTCGTTTTAATAATTTAGATATAACATTAATACTTATTTAGATCAATTGAGTGAGTACGGCAATGTTCTAAATTAATTTCACCTATGACGTCAACCATTACAATTAATAGTACACAATTACATATATAATTTTATTAAGTTTTAATTACATATCCAAACCCACACGCTACGACTGCCATGTACGAAGCCCACAAAACCATTCCTAGGAAAACTGCCAAGAAGACCTCGTCAGATAGAATACTCTCAAATATGGCGCCGAGGATCAGGGCTATGGTTACGATGACGAAGGAGATGAAAAGTAAGATCAGGGTTATGATCACAGTTAGTAGGATGACCGTTATAAATGCAGATATGAACACCCAAGTCTCCAAGGGGAAAAGAATCAACCCCACCAATAACACAATGACCACAGCGCATTTCGTACAGTCCATTTCTTACAGGGGTGAGTGTATTCTTCCTTTTGTTGCGCGATGAAACTAAAATTTTATGGTACGAACCAATTGCTTCTGTTGCCTAGAAACATCTTTGGTCTATGTTGGAACTGACATGGGGAAAATGGAAAGGAGTTTTATCTAAACTTATAAACATATAAATTAATCCATCGTGTTCTCAACCGCGTCGTTAGTTGGAGATTGGTACCAGACGATTCACCCTAATTTTTAAGAGTAATCCTCAATAGCTAGTGAGGAAAAAAACTACAATTAAAAAGAAACTGTCCGCAAATGCATAGGAATGAAGTTAATAACACGTGTTTCAATTTTTTCTGAAATGTATCCTATACTCTAAATACCAGCAAATTCTGTTTGACTGTCTGTCTGTGTGTGTGTGTGTATGTATGTATGTATGTATGTATGTGTATGTCTGTCTGTAATATATATCTCGAAATCCAGTGAAAGGATTTTGACTAAATTTTGGAAATAGGGACTTAATGCTTATAGCCTTAAAAACGTTTTTTAGGTCTTACCGTGGCACCTACGGTGATAGCTAGCTACTTCCCTATAGGGAAATTTGCTAAAATAAGGGAAAATTAATTTTACAGTACCGGTACAATAGCTCACAGTTTGTGGTCCATTCAACCATGTTCCGTTTGAATGATAAAACCTTTGACTATTGATCAAACTGACTACAGATGTCTATTTCAGTATCCAAAAGTTAATTGCTGTACACAAGTCCTTGTTTGAATTAATTGTCGGTGATTTTGAGTTTACGTTATCTAAAAAGGTATGGCAGACTTTTGCGCTTTGAAAGTCCATCACTAACACCCACAATATTCGCTCACATAACGTATACAAGTGATATTTTTACTAACAGCCTTCCCCTCTTGTTTGATAGCTTGGCGGGGAAACCCTGTTTGTTGTAAAGTGATAAGCGGAAGGACGAGCAAACAAATCGACCGAGCAAACAAAACTTGCCCTCGTGGATTGGATAACCTCCTTTCATCGAGTAAAATCATGTTAGGTCTTTCCATGGAGTATAAAGATCAATATTCGATTAAATACATTACCATGGATTATACTTACCCCGTTCTATCATCATTTTAGGTCAGCTGAATACAATAATATTGTATTTTTTGCTACTCTACTGTGAACTAACCTGTTCTGTTACATGTATCACCTGCGAAAATGCATCATTACATTGCTTACTACGGCAAAAGAATGTTTACTATGCGAAAGTACTGACTGTTTTTTGGATTTTGCCGACGTAAACAAACTACGAATTGTTGTTTTGTCAACTGTTTAAATTTTTTACAACCAAAAATGTACAACCAACGTAATTTTATAGTCTTTGTAGTGTAGCGAAAAGTATCGTTAAAACACGAGTGAAAGTGTGTCTAGAATATGTATAGAAAATATTCTCGACCATTTAAAGTGCTCGATAGTCTCAAATATGTAATGACTCACTTTCTACTCTTGTTATAAAATATACTATTAATGTACAAAGCACTTTTAGCAACTTTTATACATACTACTAGCTGTTACCCACGGGCTTTACCCCGTTTAACTTCATAAGTATTAATAAAACTATTGATTGCCGTACCAAGTTGGGTGACATTTCGAGTGCCTTTTTACGGTCACTTCGAAGAACAACATTGGACCTAATAAGCTGTCAGGGCAGAGTCCTATCAGATAATTAAAATAAAAGATGACCATCTCCATTAAACCTGTGGTTATATCGGCTCTATTCATGGAAAAATCAGATCAAATGGTCAAGTAGTTTTCACGTTATTGACATACTCTAAACTAACATCTCCATTAAACCTGTGGTTATATCGGCTCTATTCATGGAAAAATCAGATCAAATGGTCAAGTAGTTTTCACGTTATTGACATACTCTAAACTAACATCTCCATTAAACCTGTGGTTATATCGGCTCTATTCATGGAAAAATCAGATCAAATGGTCAAGTAGTTTTCACGTTATTGACATACTCTAAACTAACATCTCCATTAAACCTGTGGTTATATCGGCTCTATTCATGGAAAAATCCGATCAAATGGTCAAGTAGTTTTCACGTTATTGACATACTCTAAACATTCAAATCTATAATATAGCGTATACAAGTATACTAATCTACGTATACAAATCTATAAGTGTTTATTTTATTTTTTTATTTTTTAAATAAATAATTATTTTTTTGATGAGTCTGAAGATACCAGCATAGACCTCATATAAGCAAAGACCTAATAAAATTTAAAAAAATTGAAAATATTTGCTGTAGAATTATTTTAAGATTTATTCAAACCATTATTACCAGTTTCTCATGAATATTACTGCTTTGTCCAAATTTATAGGTTGTTTGGGTTTATCAAGATTTTTTGGCAGTACATCAGAACTTTTTATAGCTCTTACAATAATTTTGGTTGTTCATAGAAAGCACAATTTGTTTTCGTAGATACAAATCCTCTCGTAAATAAATGATTTCTGAGTAATCTTAGTGGAACCCTTAACCATTTGAATATTGGTCATTAATTATTGTTATTTTGAGTGGCGATTACAATTTAATGGGTTCACTATTTATATAGCCTATATTTAAACATACATAAACCTGTAATTAAAATTGTATTAGTTACTAAGCATAATATGACGCCTCAAAATGTATCTGGAGGTAAAGTTAACTGCAGTGTGGTCTGTCATTGAAATGAAATGAAAACCCTTCTTTATTTCATTGACATTGTCAACATTCTAATAATAATAATTACACAGTAGTATTGTACACTAAATTAAGAAATAAACTTTGTCAAGTATTCCTGTATCAATCCAAATAAGATTAATTATATTTCCTCATAATTAATGTGACATAATTGTTGTTGTTTTTTTGTGAAAACAAATTTATTATTAATCATGATGGAAAATTGCCGCAATAATTTGTTAGATGTTGTTTAGAGTTAAGGGAATAGAAACTAATTTGTTAAATGACGATTGTTTGGAGTTAAGGTAACAGAAACTAATTTTGTAGCTAGACAGCTTTTTCAAGAAATGGGAGTGATTTTCTCAAGACATGTTAGTACACAACATTTTATAAACTCGTACATTTTGACCATGAAATTTCATACAGTACAAACCACCTGTCAAATTACAATACACATTATTACACAAGTGTTAGTAGTGTTCTTAAATACTTGCTGGGGAATATATTTTTTATATACTATTTTTCGGAAATTTAAATATAATTTTTTATTTTCCCTACTCTGCACAGATTGTTAACATCAATTTCAATCCAATCCCCAGTATTGGACACAAAAGTAATGTTTATGACCGACGTGCTTGAAATCTATGTTTTAAAATTTACCTGTTAACGAAATTTTAAAAATGTGTTTCATGCAAAATGTTTGAATAATAACATGAGTGTAAACACGAAAAACCTCACCTGTCATAACAAAAGTATTAACATGTCTTACTTAATTGATGAGACATAACAATATCCCCAAATATAAAACTACTATATTTTTTTATGAACGCAACTGATAATTTTACTCGTGTTATGAACACCTTTAATGCAAGCAGACCACTTGGAATACAGGAAATGCTGATTAAAAATTATCAATTCAGTTTCTCGTTGGAGCTCGACTCCACTTTTTGTACGGTGAACTATTTACAGTACGTAGATAATTATCTCCAGAGAAATCTGAATACATAAACACTTGTGTATTTTTAATAAATTTACCTCGGACGACTTAACATACCTGATGTCTTTCCCTGTCATATTCCCACTTCTATTCGAAAAGTCAAATATCATCATCGTCAGAAGCCTAACAACAGTAAGAGGAACTCTAGGTAACACTACATTGTGCAAAAAATCAAAGTGACCACTTTCAGATCAAAATGTTTATCAACAGGTATGAAAACCCCTCCATACCACATCATGCAATTCACAAGCATCTAGGAATTAGTTCTCCGAGGATGCATCGTACTCTGCAACTACTTAGATGTGGCCCAACTTACAAAGGTATAGTCGGGTGGCATTCCTACTAATGTAATGTACAATCACTCTGACGACACACGCACGCACAGACACTCGCACGTCCGCACTCTAGGTTGGCCTTTGAGGGACTACTGTCTCAGTGACCCGCCCGACCATATCGACCTGAGTCCTACGAACCTGCGCCCAGGAGTATCCGAGTAATCGAGTACTCGCATCGGGACACCCGGTTGTTCGATAGTAGTCGGTTGAACATTTGGGTAGAAGGAAGAGTAGAATGTACAGGTTTATTTTGTATGTACGTGTTTTTGATTTGTTTGGTTGAACAAGCTCCATACCTACAGTACGTAAAAATAGGCATTATTTGCATTCGAGAGGCTCAACTAGTTTTAATAAAAAAGAGCTCACTTAACACAATAAAATTTATTAATGTATTTATGCTGAATTAAATCTGTAAAGTAGTGTCACAAAGATTTTCCAAAATAAAAAGAATCTTTATATACCGTACTTACTAAATTCCATCACAGAAATCCCTGTCTCAATTTGTTCGACAAGTCAAGAAATCCTTTATACTAAAGAGGGCTTGTTCTATCAGTAGGCAATCTATACATAGGCAATCACCACTTTCTAAAATCGCTCAGTGTCATGGTACACTTTAAGGGAGGGGTTTATGCAGCATATTGAAGAACCTGTTATGAAATACTGTAGATGCATTTCACATGTTTTTCTGTGTTTAGGCAACTTAAATATAATTTCTCTGTCTGAGAGTGAACTGCATCTGATGGTACTGCGTATGGAAAGATGACATTTTTTTTTCTTTTTCATGCTAATTTACCTTCACCTATTGAACTATTATTATCTATTGCATGCGCCCCACGTTTTTCGTTTAAAATCTTACAAGTACTTATTCTCTTCACAAATTTATAAATTATTTTCTACTTTTTAGTGCGTTTAAAAATGTGGCATTTTTTAAAAGTATTTTTTATTTATGAATTATTTTCTAATTTTTGTCTTTAATGTCTAAATATGCTAAATCTATTTTATTTGGCCTGTTAATATGTTTTATATTTACTTTGAAATGCTTGTTTTATATTTAGAATCTTTTGGGAGTTAGAACTTGTACCTCTTAACCAATGCTCTTTGAACTGTCAAATTTAAGTATTTACAGCTGATTTCAACTGATATATTTACATTATTCCAAAATGTAAAGATGGAAAATTTGGAAGCCCAAGAGAAATATGAAAATAAAATGATATACTATAAATATAGACTATAGGTATGTTGCATTGTCATCCGTTTGTGAGCTATGTTTCAAGATTCAAGTCACTAGCTCATCGGGAACATGTTTTTAATTAGTTTAAAATTGATTGCAAAATTTGTAGGCCTACCGGACAAGTAAGCGAGCTAATAAAAACGTTTTGCTTACCGTCAATTCCTTTAAATAAAAGTTACATCGTATTTTGGGTTTACTTTCATAGTAAAAAGCATCTAGTTACTGTATTCCTCTGGCCCAAGATTTCTCTCAATGATACGATTTATATTGACTAGTGTACCAGTTGCTCGAATTCGAGCAATTGCGAAGTATTACAGGCGTTGTGTTAAAACGAATAACAGTCACAATTTCCGATGACTTTAAAAGAGTAGACTCAAAGATTATGGAAATACTCACGATGTACATAACAGTTCGATATAATCAACATTTCTTGTAAATATGGTATCACTTTTCAAAAGCTGATCTTGTTTTTTAGTGTTTACTACATAATGTATCCCACTCATAGCCGCATTAGGTTGTCCTTAACAACATCCAAAACTATACACCTTTTTAATACAACATAAATAATTTACACATTGACTGTTTACAATAAACATATGTTCTTCATCTCACTTTTAATTTCTGACAACAGCTGGAGTTTCATAACAATTTTTGTTTCCCATGTTAATCTTATGGAAAAATACGAAACTTTAAAGGGCCCCTAAAATTTTGTTTCTATTATTTTATGGTTAATTTCTTGATTTGTGCTTTACTGTTTGGTTATATAACTAGGAGACAAAGTTATTGTTTATGATTAGATCGTATTATTTGGTTAAACGAGGTTTTACATGACTGTAATAACGGGAAACAAATTGTAAATAAAACACGACCTCTACATAAACCGTACAGAACTAACAATAAAATTGTCTTCAGCTGTTCCATAAGGATGAGAAATCTACGTGGGGGAGTATGTTTTATCTATGCTATTATATATAGACTATAGAGGTCGTCCAGTATTCGAAACTCGACCAAAAATATGTAATGTACAGACTTCTCTATTTTCACCCCACACTGTAAATAAAACATGTGATTGGAGTTTCTTCCAATTGTTTTGATTTTCTGTTTATATTTCGTCACCAGCATGACAACCTATAAGATCCATGTTAATTTGTTCAAATTTTTAAACTCACTTTTGTGCTTTTTTGAGCCTATTTTTATTTATAAAGGGATTCTGCATATCAACAGGAATATCTATTTCCAACAGTATGCGTAGATTTTCCCTGCGATGCAACGAGCTGAGAAAAAAGGTTTTAAAGAAACATGCTTGCCTATTAATATATAGATAGATAGATTTCTTACCTTCTTTCTTTTCTATTCATACAGTGTTGCAGGAACAGACAAATTTATTTATTGTTACAATGTTACCAATAGTCTTAGAACACTGACCTTTTCGATTAGGTTTACGGAAACAAAGCATTTCATTAACCGTATTTTTACTCTGTAGTCAAATTTATAATGTTTTATTATCAATAATCGATTATTTCATCTGTTAACGAAAGTCAACAGGGATTAACATAGGTTTGTCGCAAACATTATTTTTAATGCGAACAAAATAGGAAAAGATAGTACCTTATGCCAAGCAAATGATGACGAGGTTTTACTTATTTACATCATAACACTACAACGCAATGTTAAAATCACCCTTGACCAGTCATTTATTTATCTGAATGCAGGTCGATCCCAATACGGGTGAACCGATTCGTTAATGTATTCGATTGTATTCGATATTTTACCACCACCCACCTGTCGCCTAGTCTTGTTGATAATTTAAATACTTTATTGTTTACGAGGCGTTGTAAGGAAAGTTGCGCCTCGATTCAAATTAAGAGCATTGTTTTATCGGTCAAAACTCGAAAATAAAAGATTGAAAGAAGCTTAAGATTTTTTCTTTGGTATTTATGATATTTTTTATGGTAGTTAGTTGAAATTATTTTACGTAACGATGCTATAAAATGTGTACCATTTTACTTAATACTTTATTAATATTATTGTTTTGATTAGTTTAGTTTCGAGTACCAGTTTTATAATTTTACCTACGACCGTTTTTTAAGTAGCCGTTTCAGTTCAGTTGTTAGAATTGAAGAGTTTCACACAACAGCATTGTTTACTTACATAACAGAATAGTACTCATAACGGACCAATGAGGTTCAAGGATTGTGAGAGAAGAAGAAAAATTGTAATGATTCGAACTTCAACTTATCAGCTGTTCAGGCCAATTTAATTGTTGAGTGGTGCAATTAGTATTTGGTACAGTTTCGTTACATCAATGTCAGTGGCAATGAGAGGTTATAAACAAAAACATAACCTCTCTTACAAGTTTTGAGTAGTGATTGTAGTAATTAAAACACTTTTGTAGGTAAAGTAGTGTACGCAACTCGCGTAAATAGTGTTAACGACACGAGTAGAAAATTTAAGGTAAGAACCTTAAACTTCTAAATCTCTACTATTCAAATATATAACCTAAACATTTTCGTGCATCCATTTCATAGTACAGTATTTGTAATTTAAGGAAATATTGGAGTAAAAACCCAATCAGGCAAATAGAAATTAGCTCTGTCTGCTCTTGTGCTAGGGGGTATTTATAACATATTTTAGTCACTATTTTGAATGTTTTTAATGACAAATTAAATCTGTTGGAAATCATAAATAGGTACGATATATATTGTTAACCTCCCAAACAAATTAAACACGACGAGATTTTCGGCACCCTTGTACTAGGCCTACAGCATTATTAGACTTTGTAACGCCTTCAATCTACGCACCTTAGGCAAACTTAGCGCAGCACCCACATTGCATCTGCAGGAAGAAGGCGTTATGGTAGTTAAAACTAGTGATCTGAACAGCCACAATTTGCCGTACAAATACAGGCACAGTATGGCTGTGTCGACGAATATTAAAACAGAAACTGTGTGGATCTTAAACATAAACAAATTACGTCACTAGCCTTGTGGGTGAAGTGAATAAAAACTGGCATTTGCTGAAACTAGGTTTTTTCCTTAGCTTACTTTGGTGTGAATAAAAGGAGTTAGCATTTGCTAGGGGTAGAAATTGCTAGACATTTCCGGACACCTAGCAATTGCTTATATAGAAGTGAATAAAAACCTACCACTAGAGTTTTCATTAGCAATTGCGATGAGATTTTTAGTGAGGTCAGGGGCACACTTGACTTTGACTAGCATTTGCTATTTGTTTCAGTAGAGTTGTAGCCATGGCAAAGTTTTTACTGATCCGTCAGAGGAAAATATACATAGTTAGGACATCAACGTTGCTAATTGTAAACAGCTTTTGAAATTTGAAAGTGATAATGTAGATTTTGTAGCGAATTAATTCCTTGAGACTGACAATCTTACTGGGGAACTTTCAAAACGAAAAGATATGACATTTTTTCTGTGTTTCGTAGCAGACCCGGGATTCCAATTCGGTGTATGCTAAGATTAAGGCGTCCACCGATCTACAGCTAATAAGACTGTCTGTTATGTGTTAAATAGAATTAGTTGATGAGTCGCATAGTTGGATAAAGTTTCCAACGACTCTGGCACAATTGTATGAGGGGAAGAATTAATGGCAAGAACTTTTTCGATAAACAACTGTATCGTCACGTTAGACGGCTCACTAATAGAACATTTGAAACCAGGATTGCACGGCGATGATTATTTTTGCCTGGAAGGTTATGCAAGTATAAATGTGCAAGCTACATGCGATGCTTAAGAAAAATTCACAAGTATTAGCGCCGAGCATGGGCGTACCCAGAGAGGGGCAGGGGGGGCAGCTGCCCCCCCCCCCATCATAAGCCAGGATAAGGTATAAAAAATTGAGATCCAAGAAAAATTGTATTAGTAGGCTACCTATGAGAAAAGATGAGTAACATAGTTTAAAGTTTTTTTATGAAATTTGTTTACACATGTTATCAACTTTTCATTAGTTTCTGAGTTATTTCTTCAATAAAATAAAAATTCCAACAGTAGTAATAAACAGGCCAATTTCTTGCAATATGTATAAACTAACAACTTTGTGTAGTTTAATGAATTAATATAAACCTATTTTTTCACATTATTTTGTTTTCATATATTTCCAAGCTAGGAGTCCAAACAGTGGCAGTTCTAGGACATTGTAAAGATGAGGGGGCTAACAGTGGTGTTTACACACTAACACATCAGGAGGGGGTTTCGGAGGGCCTCTCCAGGAAAATTTACTATTTGCAAAGGTGACTTGTTAAAGCTATTTGTAATGTCTACAATTGTCTACAAATACCTCCGTTACCGTTTTTAGGACATGATTTATGTTTATCTATATATTAATAGGCAAGCATGTTTCTTTAAAAACCTTTTTCCTCAGCTCGTGTGCCTCGCAGGGAAAATATACACGTACTGTTGGTGTTCCTGTAGATGTGCAGAATCTCTTTACAAATTAAAATAGGCTAAAAAATAAGCACAAAAAATGTACATGGGCCTTATGGTTGGCATGCTGGTAACAAAATAACAATGAAATATAAACAGAAAATCATAACAAATAGAATAAATTCCAATCACATGTTTTTATTTGTGGGGTAAAAATAGATAAGTTGTACATTACATATTTTTGGTTGAGTTTTCGACCACTGGAAGACCTCTAGTATAAATTTATATCACCAGAGTCCAAAGGTGAACTACTAGGGGCTTTAGCCCTTATAGCTCCTTTGGAACCACCACTGGATACACTATAAACCTTCTTTAATAATATTTTGTTTTACAATATCCAAACTGTACATTGGGAATTCTTATTCTGCTATAGAGTATTTTTTTTTTTTTTTACTACCAGTTGGTTGGCAACACTGAAGAGCAGACGATTCATGGTTCATTGGTTGTTGTTTCAGTAATCAGTACAGTACAGTACAGTACAGTACTGGTCAGTGTATTATCAGTTGCCTGTCTGTCTAGACTACTGGGCTGGTCTCTGTTCTGTGTTCAGTGTTCACCAACCATTCAATTTCAATCGTCCAAGTACTGTTCAGCCGTCCTTACCTTCCAATAACAGTGTATTTGAAGAACTGGTTTTATTTTAACTTAGTTAATAAAGTGTGCTTACTAAAAACAAATTATTTTTTGTTCATGGTACAACTAGCAAAGTGGAAAATTGTGCTGACTGTTTTGTTATTTGTGGTTTAGATTAACTTTCAGACCAAAACCAGCAAGTTTTTAATTTTATTAATTTATTTTTATTGAAATTTTTGCTTTGATTGAAAATAGACAGTAAAATGCTGCAGCATAATTGCTTTATACCTATCTCTATCTTGTGTGTATTAATGATTTTAAACTGTTGTCTTGGACTATTCAATCCGTATCCTAAAATTCAAGATCACAATATCCAAAGTGGAGGTGATGATCCAGGAGAGCCCTTAATCTTGACGGATTATATAAAGGCAGGTAAAATTAAAGAAGCTCGTGATGCATGCAAAATGACACCGATGAAAAGCAATATCTCTAGTTATGCAGGTTTTTTTACTGTTGATTCTAGATTTAATTCAAATATGTTTTTCTGGTTTTTTCCTGCTTACCAAAATAACGCTTCTGCCCCGGTTATTCTTTGGCTTCAAGGTGGTGCAGGCGCAACATCACTGTACGGATTGTTTGCCGAACATGGGCCATTTTCTATTAAAAAGAAGCACGGACTCAAGTTACGTGAGTATACTTGGACTCATGATCATAATGTTATCTATATTGATAATCCAGTGGGCACTGGGTTCAGTTTTACAAATGACAATGGCTATGTTAGAAACGAGACTCAAGTTGGTCAGCATCTGTACGTAGCTTTGTATCAGTTTTTTCAAGTTTTCCCAGAGTACAAAAATAATGATTTTTTCGTCACAGGGGAATCTTATGCCGGTAAGTATGTACCTGCCGTATGTGACACAATCCACACCATGAACAAAAGAACAATCAATAAAATAAATCTAAAAGGATTGGCTATTGGCAATGGTTTTTGTGATCCCGAACACATGATGCAGTATGGCAACCGTTTGTATCAGATCGGATTGCTTGATAGCAATGGCAGAGATTTTTTTCTTAAAAAAGAACAAGATATCGTAAAAAGTATCCAGCAAAAGAATTGGGAATCCGCCTTTAATCAATATGATGCCTTGTTAATGGGCGATCTAACCAATGGAACTTCTATTTTCAAAACTTTAACAGGTTTTTCATTTTATTTCAACTTTCTGTACAACCAAGACTACAGCACTTACGGAGATATGGGACGATTTCTCTCTCTTGTAAATATCAGAAAAAACCTCCATGTTGGGAATGCCAAATTTAATGTCCAATCTGTCGATGTTGAAAAAAATCTTATTGAAGATTTCATGCAATCTGCAAAACCGACAATTGAAAAACTTCTGAATGCTGATTACCGGGTACTTCTATACAATGGACAGCTGGATATAATTGTTGCTTTTCCTTTGACTGAAAGTTTTGTGGACGCTCTGAACTGGAATGGTGCCCAGGATTATAGAGTTGCTCCAAGAAAACCATGGTTTGTTGGAAATGAACTCGCTGGTTATTCGAGAGTAGCAAAGAATTTGAATGTGCTTTTGGTTAGAAATGCTGGTCATATGGTACCAATGGACCAACCAAAGTGGAGTGTGGATTTTATCACCAGATTCACCAGGGGCAAACCTTTTTAAGTAAGTTCCATTTGTTATGTTTTCAGATTCTTCATATTGTAGTTTTAAATACAATATATTTTTTGTTTGTGAGTGGTAGGCCTACATTCCACAGTGTTTTGTCTCAGGTTTATGATTGTGTTATCAAGTTTATCCATTTTTAATTTACTGATTTAGGCATATGAAGGAAATCAATTTTGTTTTATTGTAATGCAGTACTAAAAGCCTAAATAAAACATGATAAGTTATAATGTTTACAGATATGTACCCATATCGTAACATATTTTAGACAACCGCCTTAATATTTAGGATGCACTACTAATATAGAATACCTGCAGACTTAGCGAATTTCCATTTGCCTGATTGGATTCAAACAGAATTAGTTTAATGAGTACTTAGGTTTGCTGCAACAGGGAGGGGAAAAAAGTTTTTTTTTATGTAAAATGTTAAAAGGGACTGTGGTTTGGTAAGAAATTAATGTATTTTCCAAATTTGATCAAAATATGTTCATAAACTAGCAAACTACAACAGTTGACTTATTCTCCATAAGAATAACATGGGAATTTTAAAATTACAATTTTTTTTTAATTTTCCCGTAACAATGAGGCGCATAATAACGCTTCAATATACTAAATTATTTGTTTTTTTAAGCTCTACAAAATGGTTTAAAAAGAAATTGTGAAATTTTGTGTTTTTAGGGTCAGAAATGGGAAAAACCTATTTTTACCCCATAAAACCCTCCATAAACCCCCGTTCCCATAGTCCGATCATGCTGGTTTGCGAACTTATTCAAGTTTATCCCGCCTTACACCTTCAAACCAAATTTTATCAGAATCGGACAAAAATTACTCAAGTTATCGTGCGGATGGACACATATATATATCTAATATATAAAATTCTCGTGTCACAGTGTTTGTCTGCAAACTCCTCCGGAACGACTTCACCGATCGTTATGAAATTTGGTGTGTAAATTCTGTAGGTATGCGAATCGGACGTAAACTATTTCCCGTTTCGAAATTCTTAAAAGGGCTCCGCCCCAGTGGCTCTGGAGTTTCCCATGTTAACCTTATGAGAAATGGAATTAATGAATCTTAACAGCTGTTTCAATTAAACAAGTTGGTTCTGTTCCATGATGTTCAATAGCATTAAAGTTACAAGGATTACCAACAGGGTGCAGCACTATTATTTCTTTTACATTTATGACAACAGCTAATTTGCAACCAAAAGGTGAGTGAGCGTAGCGAACAAACTTCAACCTGGAGGCGAGTTAGCGTAGCGAACGAGCTAACCTGAAGGCAAGTGAGCGCAGCGAACGAGCTCCAACCTAAAGGTGAGTGAGCGTAGCGAACAAGCTCCAACCCAAAGGTGAGTGAGCGTAGCGAACGAACTTTAACCTGGAGGCGAGTTAGCGTAGCGAACGAGCTAACCTGAAGGCAAGTGAGCGCAGCGAACGAGCTCCAACCTAAAGGTGAGTGAGCGTAGCGAACGAGCTCCAACCCAAAGGTGAGTGAGCGTAGCGAACGAACTTCAACCAGGACGTGATTGAGCGATGCGAACGAGATCATCTTGAAAATTAAACGTAACGGTACTTTCTTTCCATCGGTCTGTCTTAGGGGAAACCTATAACTTAGGCGATACGAAGTTCGCCGGGTCAGCTAGTATCTCTATATAAAGATATAAAAAATTTGAACGAATGGTTTTTTTGGCCTCTGGGGACATCAAAATGAAAAAGTAAATCGGTCCCGGGCCTAGGTCTTACCATGAGACCTACGGTAATAGCTACTTCCCTATAGGGAAATTCGCTAAAAAGAGAGTAGACTATCTGAATTTATTTAGTTAAAATTAAAATTGTGGGTTTTTATGTAGGTTTATATTAAGAAACTGTTCAAATGTCAACTGAAGATTTTACACCTCTACTCTGAACATCTAAAGACAAAGACCTTACACACATTAGTTTTAGGGAGAGTGAGTGGTATGTTCATATTTTCAGTCACAGTGTGTTTTCATCAGGTAAATTGTTTTAAAAGTCAAATTAAAGCAAAGTAAGTACTGAATGTATTGATCTAAGAATTGAAGTTTTGTTTCCATTTTAACAAATCTGAGCTTTGTGACAGAAATTTAAATGTTCTAGTTCATATTCCCAATGTATAAACCGCTAAAGCTGAGTTCAATTACAGTACTAAAGTAAATTTGCATGTGATTCAGCCTCTAAAATTTCATATTTAGTTTTTCCAATATTTTGAGAAGAATTAAATGCTATATTAACTACATTAGAGTCACTGCTAACATCATAGATTAAAGGGGTGTCTACTTCTTTTAATCTATGCTAACATACAGTCGTATTTTTTACTTTATTAGGATTTATCATTTCAAGTGATCAGGTTTATTGTTTGTTTGGGATTCATCATTTTGTAATGTTGTAACATTTGTTCATTTATTCTTGTCCAGCCAGTCTCTTGTTTTTTATTTGGTTATCTTACAAAAATATTATTTTTGTGATCCCAAAAACTAGTTATTTCCATGACATGATTTTTATGTTATTTATTTTTAATAATACTTATGGAATTTTTGAGGTTATTATTGTTTTGATAATACAAAGTTCCAGGACTTCTTCTTGGAAATTTATTTGTGTTAAGTATTGTAGCCTACTAATCCCACCTATCCTATGTAATTTAAAATTAAGTTCCCTACATCTATGGAGAGTATTTTTATTAAAACTTAAGGATTAGTACCTAATGGGGACCGGCTCAGGCATAGTTTCCATTGTAGCCCTTTATCGAGTAATCTTCAGTGTAATCTTTGATCAATAGTAACAAATGATGTTTTTCCTTTTGTACAGTATTTTGTAATTTGCTAGTATACTGTGATTCTTTGGTCGCTGACTGTGGATGGTTTGTTATAGACACATGTTACCAGTCTTTTATTTACTTTTTCCTTGTTATTTTGTTCAACCAACATGGTTATTGGGCAAACCATATAAGTTTTTTGCCAATGTTAAAAGATGTTGACTTTTGATTTCATTTTTTTACTTAATTAGAGTTTTGTTGGCAGTTTTAACTGCATAAAACACATTTTAGGCCAGAAATAAATTATTGACAACATTTTAAGGAATCGTCAAAGCTGTTTTTGAGATCTTTGTGCAAGTATACAAGCATACATACATACAAGCAAATATTGCTCATATAAAAGTATAGAATATGATAAAAAAAAGGGTAGGCCTATCAGTTGATGGTTGGTATATTTATTTATATATATTTTCAGCGTCTTTTCGTGTATACGATTCTACTCTGACTGTTATTTCTATACGGTATTATGAATAGGTTTTTATAAAGTTTCCCATTCTGGATTTACATAAGTTAGCTCTCTAAAATGATAACAAAGCCTAAAAATAAGAAATAAATTATTCTATTAAAACTAGTAACTGAATTTATTGAGTAAGCTGTACAAGTTTTACTTAAGATTTCTAAGATATTTTATTTTATTTTGTGTATGTACTCGATTTAATTAACAGTGTGTGTACCAAGTGTACCTGTAGCCTACTCTTGTTGTTCTTACATCAGTTTAGATAGTTTGGAAAGGTCTGATTTGACTTTGGTACAGGTGTACCATAAAGATATTTTATAGACTGGTTTATTATACAAAAGGTTATTTGAATATACTGTCTATTGTTGTGTAATTTTAGTTGAATAATTGAGGGTTTGAGAATAATATGATTTTTATATTGAATAAATGCATGTCTCTTGTTTTATAGACTACTTTTAAATGTGTTTTCCTCATACAATTAATTATATTATTATGTAAAACAGGGAGTATTTAATTCTCAATATCTACTTTACATATTGTTGCCTTGTATTTTAGCGAATTTCCCATCTTATAGGGAACAAGCTATTACTGTAGGACTCATGGTATGACCCGAGACCGGTTTACTTTGTCGTTTTGAGGTCCCCAGAGGCCAAAAACACCCTCTGTTCAAATTCATATATACATAAGTGTGTGTGTGTGTGTGTGTCAGTTGGCGTGATAACTCAAGCAAAAATCAACCGATTCTGATGAAATTTGGTACAAACATGTAAACCTACGTTTATTCGAACAAGTTCGCGAATCAGCATGATCAGACTATGAGAACAGGGATTTATGGGGTAAAATAGGGTTTTCCCATTTTTGACCCTAAAAACATAAAATTTCACAATTTCTTTCCAAACCATTTTGTAGAGCTAAAATAAAAAAAATAATTTTGTTTATTGAAGCGTTGTTGTATGCCTAACAGTTACGGTGATAATTCAGGAAATATTAAATTTAAAGTTCCTATGTTAGGCCTATTCATATGGAAAATAAATAAACTATTGTAGTTTGCTAGTATCGATGATATTTTAATCAAATTTGGCAATTTCGTTTACTGTATTTCATAATAAGCTAGGCCTATCAATATTTCAATAAATAAACACCTCAATACCTAGCCTGTAGCAGCAAATTAAAATACTCATTAAAATTAATGTTATTTAAATAGGAAATATATCTGACAATTTTAAGGGAATATTTTAGTAGAAATCCAGCCAGGTAAATGGAAATATTCATAGTCTGCAGGTTACCTGCGGTGCGGGTGTTTATCTATATGGTGTGTCTATGGTTTCATACACCCCAGACCCACGGTATCACCCCTTGACAAAGGTCTAGTTACACCACTGCCATTTTTTCCTACACACTATATTCTCAAACCCAGCAATATGGTTTTTCGGTTTTTGGTCTGTGGCCAAGTTTACTGAACAATACAGTACTACTGGGATAGTTGGTATCCGATTTTGGTATTCATTGATTTTGGAAATTGATTTTGGTTTCTACTGACACCCTGCAGCTTATTGAACAGTTTTATAGAAACCACACCAGTTGACATTTTCATAACTAACAAAAAATGTTTGTATGCTGACATATTAACATTCGAACATCAAGAAAAATTGTCAACATGTAAACCACTTAGACTATATTTTAATCGATAGTTTTCTGAACTTACAACTGCAACTTACACAAATTGCATTTACGACAAAACTTAATTATACGCAAGTGTTTGAGATGTATAGTTCAAAATTACACATTTCCTGATAACGCAGGTCCTTATGGTAGGATTGAAACTATATTTTAAAGTGAAATAGTATGTAGACAAACACCGACAATCAATATTGTTGTAAACAAACAACTTGTAACTTGAACATTTCAATGACAGTTTGAAACCAGCTGTTAGTTAAACCAGCCCAGAAACTAATTTAAATTGTTAGCACCAGCTGCTAGATTTTTCAAAATTAAAACTTTATTTCTAAAAAAACTGAAACCCTAAACTAAAATTATGTCTTCGACTTTCCCTTTCTTTCAAAATTATCTTTCTTTCAACACAAAAATCATGAAAGTCGTGAATCATGTCAAGTGGTTGATTCAGAATCGTGAAGTAAAAAAACCCTGTCACGTTTTAAGATACTTCAAAAACGCCACCTAGATGCCTAGAACTTGAATGGAAGATATGGGTAGAATCGGGATTATCTATGTAACTTTGTTACTAATCAGTAATTGTGTTAGCCTCAACCATTTGAAAAAGGCAATTAATCAAACAAAAGCAATAAATCAAATACCGGTACTGCTATGAATAGGTCCAGTTTGGAGCCATCAAAAAGCTACTTATTTATCTCAGGATCAAACTGACAACTTTTTGACTGTCAGGTGATCACTATAACCACTCAGGTGGCCAGTACAAAATTATTTTGGTATCATAAGCATCTCGTTTAGTTGTTGAATCCTATTTTGTGTCTGTGTAAAACACCACCTAAGTGTTAAACTCGTGTTGAGACAGCTACAGGCTACTAGTTTGCTAATTGTTATGAATAATAAATAATGAGTCATGACTAACTCATCGATTACAGTTAATTGGCTCAGTCATGACTAATTCAGCGATTACGGTTAATTGGCTTAGAGATTACCCTGGTTACAAAGATTAAGTTAACAGTAACCTTCTTTTTCCATTGCAAGAGTAATTTCAGGTCTTACAATTCCTATGACTAATTATAGTCTCAAACAATTAACAATCAAACCATTTGTTTCTGTGTTTTAAAAAGTTAAAAATCTAAATTTCAATAGGTTTTATTAAATGTTGGACATTTTAACTTGGCTTCTGAAGACAAAGGCCATGTTCTGGTAATGGAATTTTTTCATTTAAATATTGTCTGACTCAAATAGATTATAAAATCAGGAAAATGTCTAGTGACTAATACTCCAGACTGCATCTTACCAAATAGGGATAAAAACTTCATATTTAATTCAATCAAACCACAATTTTTCTTTATAAAATTCCTACTTAAGATAAAATATTAATCTAGGATTTGAATTTTGCATTAAGTTGTACTGGAATACAGAATTGTTGATGATTCATTATACAAAACACTTATCAGGTCATGGTTATCAGCTAAGAGTTCAATACTTAATAATAGGAGAGATAAGTGTTTGACCTACAAACAGGTCAAATAGTTTACAGACTAAGTGTACATAAGCTATTTGATGATACATCAAAAATGTACTTAATGATAGGACTATTTGGCCCGGATCTAAATGTGTCTATTTCAGAGTAGAGTTTGCTTGATAAATACATTTTATATTGTTCAAGCTACACAGTTAAGCAAAGTAATTATTTTTTAATCAACTCAAACCACTTGTTTTGTGTAACTGATGACCAAGAAGAAATCTGCAAGACTCTTAGCCTATCAATGAAGCTCCAATTTCATTAAAGTTTACTAGTATTGGGTTCTATTCTTAAAATGGTTTTAACTGTTGTTAGTTGTTTGTTGCCTGGAAATCTGATGAACCCCCCTCACTAATTATTTGAGGTGATTAGGACAATAATAGACATATGAAAACTTGTACACATTTAATGAGATCAATTTCTTTATCTAAACTTTTGATAAACATTTAACAAAACACAATAATAAGATGTAACAAGATATAATAATAGTTTAAATGATAATATTAAGTTGTTGGAAAAAGCTTGTAACTGTAGTAACTTTAGAGGCATATATTACTCCTTAGCATAACTTATAAGGTTTTACCTAATATAGTTTTAAATCGTATTGAAGAATAGCACCAGTGGACCAAGGATTGCTCGTGGTGTTTAATTTGTCCAAGGCGTTATAAAATTAAGCATTTAGGCCTACAATTTCCATGATATTATAAAATATAGTCTATAATGTCATAAAATAAGTTATATAATATACTGTAAAAACATTTTATCAAGCTCAAGTTTAGGTACTATTCGTACAAAATTATGTCTACGACTTTGTCGTCTGAAGTCATTAAAAACCGTTGCAGGTCTAAATAAACGTGCATTATACTGGCACAGCGAAATAATACTGAAATAAAAATATGTATTCGATATGTATTATACACTACTGTATTCACTGGAATTTTTTACTAGAAATCAATGTGAGTTCAAACGCTTTTGAAGGCAAGTGGTTCAAACCCATATTAAGGTTAAGTGGATGTGCCGGGAATCAAAACCCGTCCCTCCCTCACCAAAGCCCGAGACACTAGGCTAGTAGCACACCCAATTAGTTTATTTGCCGTTATACTCCTGGTCCTCAGGGTGAGGGGTTCTACTGTATAACTTTACATTGTGTACGTGTACAGTAATTATGCATAAAATAGTTTTTATATTTGTTCATCACACGTATACTATAAGCAAGATCAAGTGGAATATTATTATCCTATCAATATTTAATTTGAACTTTACTTTTTAAGACAAGTTTTAGCTTTTTTAACCAAATAGAACCATCTGTTATGTTTATTCTCATTGTAGAGTGATCTTAAATTAATTATTAAAGTATCAGTCAAACATTGACTAAATTAAATGTCACAAATAATCACAGCAAAAAACATTATAGTATTAACCAATGACAAAATAAATTCACTTGATTAAATTACAGTATTATCATAGACAAAAAGAATCAAATATAGACAGCTGTGCTGCGGTTACCATAGGTTCTGGCGCACACCGCTTGGAGCGCCATGTAGTTACGGCGTACACGCTACATAAACTACAGCGGTGTGCACCGAAACCTATGGTAACCGCAGCATGGCTGAAAGTCTATATTTAATTCTTTTTGTCTATGGTATTATACTTAAACATCATCAAATTCAAATCTTATAGAATGCTAAAACCTAACCCATGAATAATCAGGAGTAAGATAATGTCTAATCCGTGAGTATGAATATATTAGCTTAAGACTATTATTATTATTATCAATTGAAATGGGAACGCTACACCAACACAGTAGACTTCTCATCCCATTGTAATTGTAATTTTGTTTTTGTGTCTAGTTCATAATTTTAGGGTTAATTTCACGATTTGTGCTTTACTGTTTGGTTGCTTAACTAGAGGACGACTTATTGCTTTATTTGGTTAACCCTTTGAGGTCAAATTTTTTCCACATTTTCTGGCGAATTTAGCTTGCCATTCAAGTAGTCAGAAAAATGGCGCCCAGCGACCTATACTCGCCATTCAACCAAAAAAATTACTTTTTTGATTTTTGAATAATTTTTTTTTTATGGTCCTTGTAGGTCGCCATTTTTGAGCAGTCGGCAAAATGGCGGGCGGCGACCTATACTTGCCATTCGACCGCAAAGGGTTAAATAATTATATAAGCTGAAATAATAAAAAAAAATTGTAAACAAAAACACGATCCTGACAGCACCAGACGGAACTAACAATAAAACTGGCTTCAGCTGATCCATAAGGATGAAAAATCTACTAAGAGAGTATGTTTAATCTATGATATTAGTATACATTACCGTTCTGTTTGCCCACCCAGAATAATGAAGTAGATTTGCACAACCAATCAGCTAAGCCATGGCAGTATGTAGTGATCAATGACGGACAGATTACTGTGCCATTTGTGATGAGGTACGCCTGCCACCATGTACCGTGTCAATTTGCCTGCCTCGTCAAGCGTCTTGAGTCCAAACAGGTCTTGCTTGTAAATGTCCCGGTCAAACATGTCAATCACATCTTCATTTTCATCGTAGCAGCCAAACTGACTGAAAATCAAGGTGAAAAGATTAAACTAGTATATTACTGATCCGGTAAATAGGTATTTAATGGACGAGTATGGTCGTTCCCATGTGAGACAGAGTCAAGTGTATGTATAAACAGATTTTGATGGTAAACACATTTTGGAATGACGTAGGCCTACAATATTTTTTGCAATAACTACCCTAAACAAACAATAGAAAAACTGTCAAAGTCGGTAATATGTTCCCACAGATTTAAGGACTTAACAATCACTACTCATAACGTCTCTGAGTGGTTATGTTTTCGTTAATGGTCACTTACTGTCATTATAATATTAGCCTACTTTAGTAGAATCTCAGGTAGAATAGATTACAGAATAGGACCGAAACCAGTTCGACAGGGGGTCCTCTGTTGCCAAGTTGTGCTACAAGTTCAGTCTCTGCCCGACAGCCGACGACATGTACAAGTAAAATGTTTACAATATCGCAATGTCAAGATAGAATAGCTAAACTACCTATTCTAAATGAATGCAACAATTAAGTACCTACGCATATAAAAAATATGTAAACGTTAGTTCATTTTTCTGAAAATTGATATCAAACTAATGAACATTTTCAGGCAAACCACAATATTATAGGAATTTGATTGTCGCTATTGAGCTCTCAAACTCCGTAAATCTGAGCTCAGTCGAGTGACAGTAATAAGAATAACGGAGCTAGCGTCAGGATTGGTGTTTAGAAAAAAGGATTTAGGGAGCTCTAGAGTGATTCCTAAACAATGACCAACTTCATTTCCTTATCAAAACCAAAATATTGTATAGCCTACATAAAACTATTAGGTACTGTTCTTGTTTAGGCCAGCCTACAGTGATTTTTTTAGATCATAGCTGGGAAAGATATGACTCTAGACAACATATTTCCAGGGACATATGACCCTAACATATTTATTTTCATTTTGTATTTGTTAATATTATCTTCTTTTTTTCATAAACTAATGCTGGGGAGCTGTTAGAGCCATTTTGGAGGGTTGTGCAATCAAACCATTATGATGTACTGTATGTGATGAATGTATCTTCCATACGGTATACAAATATAAAAACACCACCTGATACCACCAAGAAAAAATAAATTATTTGCAGTGTTGAACTACTCTACATGTGGGAAGATTAGAAGCAATTAGGAGATAGCAGTCTTTATAGTGAAAGTCGGCTAAACAGCCAAGAAGGATGTGACAACGTCGCATCCCCTACCTCTTCAAAGCCAACTCCATTGCAAGTCATATTCTGTTATCTATTCCACTATGCAATAGATACTAAACAATAAACCACTAAACAAATTATTATCTTTTGCGTCCTCTTCGCATTGCAAAGCAGGGGAACAGCAGCAGTAATAGATAAGTTATTTGTGGTAAGTGCTCGCCTTCTTGCCTGAAGGTCGCTGGTTCAACTCCAATCTTTACAAGATTGTTTCTGGACCCAGAGGTAATGTGTGATTGGGTTATCAATTCATGATGGTATCCAACAAAAGGTCGACATTAGACAGCAACAAAATTCAAATGGCGTGGATACACACAAATAAAATAAAATATCCCTGCTGCAGACTAAGGGAATTTCCATTGGGTAACCAGTGACCCAATTAAAAACACTTCAATAATCAATGTACTAAATTATTTGGGTTCTTTTACTCTACAAAATGGTAGAGTGAGAGAGAGAAATTGGGAAATTCTAGTCTTGATATTAGGCTAACTTCAAACTTTAATCACCTGGACTGCCATGGCGAGATGACACCATCATCTGGTCCTCCAATCAACACTAGGTTTCTCAATTTGGCAATTCCTCGCTTGAACTCATCCTGATAGTCGTCTGCCTCGTTGTTAATGAGTGGTAAGAAGTTGTTGAATTTAAAATACAAGTCCTGGTGATGGGGATCATTCCAGTAGTTGCCGACTGATGTGAGTTGTCCCACATGAGAGTAGAACAATTCGTAAGCCTCCTTCAAAGCCACATCGGGGTAGAAAAGGTGTAAAAACTTGACTCCATATTCGCCTCCTTGCGGAGAGCTGAGTGAGATGAAATTATGGACATTGTGATCGGGATACTTTTCTAAAATGCCTCGGGCAATAAGTCCGCCCTGAGAATACCCTGTAAACAAACATTTATTTATAAATATAAGTAAAAAATAAATGTGTTCTTAAATTGAAATATTTGTAATCTTATTGTAGAAAGAAAAATTAAAATCACAAGTGAATTTTCCTATACGGAAGAAACTGTTACTGTAGGTGGCGCAGAAAACCCTAGACCCGGGACTAATTTAGTTTTTCATTTTGATCTCCCTAAAGACCTACTACAGAAGGCTATTCGTTACAATTTGTACAGTTTAATATGTCCGTGAACACGATTTTCCATGCTGTGTCGCTTGTGGTTTTCTTGGGCCAGCTTTTGAAAAAGGGACTTTCAGGAGGCATAGTGGAATCTACAAAACAAGCAGGAGTTGAAGTTAAAACCAATGGTTGATTAACTTCATCTTAAATTGTCTCGATTTTGGTAACCAACCCATCATGGTCCTTTGCAGTAGGTCTTTCATCTGTCTTGTGAAAAGCATGACCAACTGTCTGTCTCAAGGTACAACACCTACTCCTACTATTTCTTAACTGAACTAAAATCGAACAGGCCCTAGCTTAAGCTTACCAATTAAGTGGATTCCTTCAGGATGGATTGCACAAATTTGCATTATTTCAGCACCAATTTTACTAACTTGATGCCACATTGGTTCAAGACTCCAGAATCCTCCAAACTGATTTGTAATGTATACTTTTGTTCCAGGATGCATCTTAAAACAAGTTAAAATTTAAAGTCTTGACAGAGGATAAATTGTAGGATAGTTTATGAGTTAATTAATCAGTATTTAGCATGAAAGGTTTTGAAATCATGTCAATTATTTTATGAGTTGAGTGGCCTAGGGCCTACTGTTTTTGTTCTTGTATGCTCAGGATCAGTGATTTGTAATAGTCCTGAAAATAGGTGTTTACCGGACGAATGTGGTCGTTTAAGTTATGTGCGAGACAAAGTCGAGTGCCCGTGGGATTACCATAAGAGTCCGGTAAACACATTTTGGACGAGTGACGTACGATATTTTACGCCATACTAAGTTACTTTAAGCTAATTAGCAACCCTACAAATCCTTATGTACTTAATCCCACCGACTAAAGGACTAAACAATCGGTTATGCTTTAGTTTGTATCCACTCATTGTCAAATATAATCAACTGATTGGTGTCCGGTAAAAACTCATTACAGTACAGTAGTACCTACGTAATGAAATCCCATTTGATTAACCTGGCGGCAAACAGCTGTTTTCTGGACTAGACTAAATCCTTGTGTGGGAAGCTCGTTAACACGGTAAGTAAGTAGTGGAGCGTAAAATATGTTGCCTAAGAAATGTCATACTTATTTGGAACATAAACCTTAGCCTATATGATTTAAATAAATGAATATTTTTTAGGTGGAGAGGGCAGTGGAGTGCTTAATAAAAGCTAAGCTACTGACAGCTACAAATTTTCCTGTCAATTGGGAGGCCAATTGTGGCATTGGTCTGGTTGTGTCCCTAAATTAGATTATTTAAGACAGTGTCAAGAACACAACCATCCCAAAACTGCCTAAAAATATAAAATGTGTAAGTTAAGGTAAATGCAGTCCTCCGATCTTCCAGATCAATATCATTACGGTATTACGAGTATTCAAAATGATTTACATAACTGGTGAATTAATTGTTACTAAGTAACTTACAAACATGGGAATTACAGTAGGCCTATCTAAATTTTTTCTACTAAAATAACTTGACGCCCTTTAACCTTTTATTGGCCTGTGCGCGTGGGCCATAAGACTTGGGTGATACAGTGCCAAAGTGAACTGTGCGGAAAACTTTTAGATGCGGACTTAGGACTATGGTTTAAAATAAGTTATGACACATTAAACCTTACTAACTCTTGACCTTTTGTCAACAATTTGATATCAAATGACTGAAAGACCTAATTACCCTGTGTCACCTTAAGATTTGCCATAGCATTAAATATTTACGTTATAAAGTAAAGATTGTACTACCTCAGATATGTAATTATAGGATTGTCTTACCTCAGATATGCGATCAGCAAGATCAGTTATTGTTGAGTAATTGGTCAATATTCCATGTACTATAACAACAGGTTTATATTTTACATGTTTAGAACAAACTTCATAGCATGTAAAAGTGATCCCAGTTAATGTTATCAAATAAAATACTATCATTATATTCAATTGGCACATCGATAACCTAGAACTTGTTTACCTAGAGGTGCCTTGTTACCTAGAGCTAGTTTACCATTGACTTTTAAGTCAAGTCTATTTTAGTTACTAAACTTAAGTATTCGTGGAGTAGCCTTAAAACTGTTGTAAACAAAACAATAACATTGAACATCGTGATTTGACGTTTCAATATGACTAACAGCTGTAGGAGTAGGAGGTCGAGGAGGTAGGTACCTAGAAAAGCAGACAAAAACACTACATTGTTGCCAACTAACTACCAAAGTGTATTAAAACTTATGTATAAAATGCAGTAATCCTATATACTCAGAAAATTCTTCACTAGGGTGGTCTGCCGTTACACTTTAGACGCATAAATGAGCGAAGCATTATTTGAAGATTGTCAATGGCTAAAGCAGCTAACAACCTACAATATGTTCCTTTTAAACAGATTCACCGTTTGTTTGCCCGATATTATTTAAGTTCAAAAGAATGACAAATTTATCTGATAGTTCATTTATTTAGTTAAGAATAGGAATTGATAAAAGGTTATTAGACATGTGTATTTGACATTTCGTTTAAACTGTCAAGAGCAAGACTTTTACATCACTCATATAGGCTACTGATGATATCTTTTGCGGCCGAGTGAAATCCAATAAGTCTGGTTTTCCATAAGGAAACAGATGAGGAAATGCCATTGGAATATAATATAGCCAACCCTAGTGAATTCGTTTACGGGTGCTGATGTTCCGGTCGGCCACATTAGTCTCTGAACGTGATCCCTTTGACGAAACTGCGCAATCATAGGCACCGATGTTTCTTCAACTTGGTCTTCTTCGATTTCATCAGGACTTTCTTGGTTTTCACGTACACACTGTACTCTCATGTGAACAAAATCATTGACTGGTAGTTGGTGTAGCGCTTCATCACTAATGGTTATGTCAAAATAGAATGGGCGTTATTTGCCTTCAGCTAAATAAGTGCTTGCTGTAGTTTTTCACGTCGAACTTTGAAATCGATATGACCAAAGACGCCTTGACGTTGGACAATGATGACTTTTAAGTTTTCGAGCAGTGTAGGTAAGACAGATTCTATAATATCTTGCTCAACATTAATGATGTTACCTTTGTAGTGAAACTGGCCATCCTATGACCTGACCATTTGCCTGTACTTTGTAAATGCGCATAGCGGGATGTACTCGTGCAATCAACATTATTTGTTCTCCAATCGTCAGGTCAGTTAATTCGTTCGGGACACTTGACACATCCATATTATTTAACGCCGTGAATTTAGTTGCATTTGAACGACAACGCGAACAAATCGGTGATTGGTTTGAAACTGTTAGTTGTTGGCGATGACAGCTAGTGCAAGTGTAAAATGTTAGTGTATCTAATTCATGTTGGAATTGATTAGCTAACTGCCTATCATTATCAGCTTCTTCCACCACTGCTTCATCTGGTTCTTCTTGTTCACGACGCCACTCTCTTACAATATTTGCATTATTGGTGCGACTACCAATAAATATTACGACGTGGCCTTTGAGGCATGCTCAAAACAAATATAGCAAAACTGTTACTTCCATTGATAAACTGTTACATTCCAACTTTTACCTAGGATGAAAGTAAACATTGAATTGTAAAAAAAAACAGTTACAAACAATTAACATATGTTTATTTTATTTAAATGAAACGAGATAAACCCACATGTCATAAACCCAATATAATTTTTCTTTCAACTTACATTAAAATAACAAGCGAAATTGCGTGACCCGTAAAATAAAATCACAATGTGCTCAGTATTCTTTAGCTGTTGGCCAAATTTCATATCAATTGGTCAGGTCAAGCCATTACATTCTGATGCTCTTAAGCGGCCCACACACTAGCGCGCATGTGCCTTGCGTGGCTCGTGGTGAGGTGACTGTGAGCGGCTCTAGGCACATGTGCGATTCAATTGGTAACCACACACTAAGGCCGGTGCTCCACTAAGCTGTTTGGCCGCGGGCGGTAACCGCGCGCGGTGCTGCCGCCCTGTGACAGCAGATGCATTTGAATCGGACCGGCTCCATCATGCGCGGCGGCGCCGCACCTTGCGGTGGTGCCGCGACATGTCGCGGCGTCGCCGCAGTCGCGGCGCCACATTCAGTCTTGTGAGGTGAGCTCCACTGTGCGGTTGTGCCGTGGCCTGTCTACTCCAAATTAGTTCATCAAATGATTTGATCGACATTCTGTAGTACTGAAAAAACTTGTCCTCATGCTTCCGGATTTCTTCATAAAATTTAAAGAAATTGTTTCCTTGTCTGCGTTCCAAAGTGAAGGGGTGAACCCAGTACCGCTTCTTTTTCGGTTCCAGCATACCACAGGCTTCGAGAGCACACACAACTTTTACTAACGACATCACTCTGCACTACAAAAAACACGCGTCATCACTGTACCAGGTGAGTCAACAAAGTAGCGAGCGCGGTCCGCAATTGGCGTTAAAACCGCTCAATGGAGCATAAAATCATAGTCGCGGCCACGCCGCGCGAGGTTCTGCCGCGCGCGGCCAAACAGCTTAGTGGAGCACCGGCCTAAAGACACATGCGCGACACCACCGTCTTTGACCATGCAAATAGTGGGCTATAACAGCAAATTCAACAGTTATATTGAAATCATTCTAATAAACTCCTTTGTATCGTCACCATGTTAATTTTTACTATTTTTTTTTTCATTTTGCATTTTTTTAACATGGACATATTTTTAGAGTTGCAATCTAAGTCACTAAAGAATAAAATTTGCCTCAAAAAACAGATTTGATTATAAACTACTAATTAGTTGGGTAGTTATTAGTTGTATGCATTATGGTTTTGGGTTTTTGGGAAATAAGTTATTAAAGAATATGAGGGTTGTATTATTTAATATAAGGGTATAAGGGTCGTATTTAGAGTATGAGGGTTATAGACTTAGATTTAATTAGTATATTTGGTTCACATCGATATTAATATCTCAAAGAGTTAATTTCAGTCTTCACAAACTTATCGTCACTGCCAGGAAACACCCTTGCATTTCGTTATCAATAGCTCCATAATTTCTTTTCTCATTTATTTGTTTGAAAAGTTTGCACTTTCCACGTCCCAAGAACACGTTTGTGATCTATAAAGCTCAATAAAGTCAGACCAAATCTTTCTTATGCCAGGACATCTTAACCGCACAACAAAGAAGTCAATAATAACCAAACAATAAGGACAAATAAAATGCAACACGTTGGGCAGTAGTCAGTGTACACTGTGCCACGCAGGCGCAGACCTTGTAGTTCCCGATTTACAGTATATGCAGCTATGGTTTGTACTGCTAGTTCACGAACATGTGCCTCGGTTTTCCCACAGACTGGCGCGCATCATAACAAGCTCGCGCACTTGTGACGATGCTCGAAGGTCCGGCGGCAGGCACCAGGCACCTCGCATGCGCGTCGCGAGCATGGGCACATTTACCCACACATTGAGGCGCATGCGCGTCGAGCTGTTCGCGTGTCACATGTGCGCGCACAAGCGCCCTAGTGTGTGGGCCGCTTTACAAAGAAGCTACAAAGTGAGGGAAAGTGAGCTTCGCTCAATTACAGTATTTTATGGTACCAACTGACCCACTCCAATTTTTGATGGTTAATAAATGCATAGAAAACCATTACTTATATTACACATCACTCAAATTACTTATATTACACACTAGCTGTACCCGCGGGCTTCGCCCCGTTTTATCTTCATAAGTATTCGCACGGCTCATTCACGTCCTGGTTGAAGTTCGTTCGCTACGCTCACTCACCTTAAGGTTGAAGCTCGTTCGCTGCGCTCACTTGCCTTCAGGTTAGCTCGTTCGCTACGCTAACTCGCCTCCAGGTTGAAGTTCGTTCGCTACGCTCACTCATCTTTTGGTTGGAAATTAGCTGTTGTCATATATTAAAAAAAAAATTAAAAGTGCTGCACCCTGTTGGTAATCCTTTTAACTTTTATGCTATTGAACATCATAGAACAGAACCAACTTGTTTAATTGAAACAGCTGTTAAGATTCATTAATTCCTTTTAAATATGAAAAATCATAAGATTAACATGGGGAACTACAGAGCCACTGGGGTGGAGCCCGAAAGGGTTTTTGAGATAAGAATATGCTTTAATGTTAATCGGGAATGTGAGCCATCATCATGCCACATTTCAGCCCAATCCGTCCAGTAGTTTATGCGTGATTGAGCAACACACACACAAACACACACACAAACACACACACAAACATACACACAAACTCACAAACTTTCAGATTTATAATATTAGTAAGATAAGATGTTGGTTAGTCTATAATCTTGATCTCTCCAAGTAGTGTGTGTGTCCATGGTGGAAGGTGAGTGTCTATTTATTTATTCCCAATGGCAAATTGCCAATACATAACATGGGAATTTTTCATTTACAATATTTTTAATTTTCTCCTTTACCAACAGCCGTACCATACTCCTTTAACACTATATTAATTTAACAAAATATGGACACGGCTCATATGGCAAACGTGCCCTTCTGCACTTGTATTATTTTGTATTGTATTACACAATAGAAAATTTTTTCAATGATTGAAAACATAATGACAATATTCGGATGATCTGTCTAGAATAATATGATAAAATATAGACAAAAGTGGTAAAAAAGGCAGACAACCAGCCCGTGATATAGATATAAGATAATTCAATAAGAAATAATTTTGAAGCGTTACTGTGATATTCAGATTTTCCACTGATTTCGTAATGGAACGTTGTATTGCAAAACATGAAATGATGCAGAAGAAATTAATTTTAAAATTAGAAAATAACATTGCAAATACTTATTTTTTTAGTAATTCAACTACCTAATGTGTGTTGTTTAAAATACAATTTAAATATTAACAAATGTTTTATTAAAAGGTAGTGAAAATTATCCATATGGTGAATAGTATTTTGGTGACAAACCTTATGTAGGCTTTTCCAGAGGGAGTAATTTTAAGCTCCTGGAAAAAGGAGAGTTAGACAGTAAATTAATGAAAAAGGCAATTTCAACCCTCAACGGGTTCTTAGTACTGTAGTAATAAAACACAAAATTATATCGGGCGAAGCCGATGAGTAACGTTATTATGAATAAATCACAAAATATGAATATTGTCTACAATGTATGGTTAACAATTCAACTGTTTGCCTTTTCAGAAATGAATAAAATTGAAAAGAATAATTCCAGTTAATTTGGAAAAAATAATGCTTCATAACGGAAAAATAGTTTGCAACCAACAAAATTGAGACAAAATTAAATCAAATTGAGTCATCATGACTAGGCAAAAATAAAACAAGAGACGTAAATTCTCAACTATATTTAAATAAATTTATCCGGTACAACTTTAAAAATTACTTAGCAGTATGAGGTAGTCTTAACCTTGAGGGCCCCGGGGACCTTTCCCCATCATCATGATGGGCAGCTGGGGACAGCTGGTGATCTTGGTCTTCAGCGCCGAACACTCCGGAGACTCGGTCCACGAGGCAGAAGGACAGTTGAGGAACACTTCCCTCATGACGCACTTCTCCAGCTCAGCTGCTCCACTCTTGCACTCCAGGCTAGTGTCAATGTCCTTCTCGTAAGAGGCGAAACATTTGTCGATCGCAGCGGTGACGACCGGCTGGAGGTTACCGGGAACGGAGCCGGAGCCGAAGTTCTTGGTGACTGCTGCCTTGTCAATCTTGCCGCCGCTCACCATCCCGGTCTCAGTGAAGACACACTCGGCCATACAAGCGTGGTGTTTCTTCATCTCCGGGCTCGGAGTGGGAGGCGGCCCAGTGGGAGGACTAGCGGGACGTGGCGGATGTGGAGGATGAGGAAACTTGTCCTGACACTTCATCGCCGCTGCCTTCATCGGTTCTGGCAAAGCACCCTCTAGTTTGCAGCACTCCGGGGGATGGGCGTGCTTTTCGCCGGGCTGGGGCGGCCCGCAAACGTCCTGCCCCTTCACACCAAACACCGCAACCGCACACGCTACAGCAAACACTACTACCAACTGCATGTTGACAATTCACAGTGGTGATGTGACCACCATATATATAGTTAGTTATGTGGTGTGGAAGGTCGGCGGATGTAATTACACCATTGTGCGACAGTGACGGGGAAATAAGCTGTGATCGCGACGCCGAATTCGTATTCATGGAAAACTAGTAAATTACCGCTTTTGGTGACAATTATTTAATTTGGCGTGTCATTTCCTACTTTGGAGTTGAAGAAATGCCGTGTTTGTAGGCAATTTGAAGGACGTTTGCTTGTTTAAAAAGCGTGTTAATCGGCACTCTAAATATATAGTTAATACAATACTCTATCAATAGTTTAAATTTAGTAAAAATGTGTCATGCAGATGACTGATTATTATCTTAGCCAAAGATAATCTTGTCACAAAATATAACATATGATTATGATTATGGACCACTATATACTTGTAACAGAAAATACCCCCGCCACAGCAAACCTGCAGACCAAGCGAATTCCCATTTGCCTCATTGGATTTTTATTAAATTTATTTGAATAACATTAGATTCAACAAGTACGTAGAGGTTTGCTGCTACACGGAGGGTAATAAAGTGTGTTATTTAGTAAAATATTATTAGCTTAGTATAAAATAAATAAATTTGCCTAGTTTGATAAAAATATAAACAAGCAAACCACAACAGTTTACTTATTCTCCACAAAAAAATACATGGGGGGGTAACTTCAGTGTACTAAATTATTTGTTTTTAAGCTCTTCAAAATTTTTTAGAGAGAAATTGGGAAATTTTACGTTTGAGGGTCAAAAATGAGAAAACCCATTTTTAAAATCCCCTAAATCCCCCTATAAAACCCCATTCCCATGGTCACGCTGGGTTCGCGAACTTTGTTCGAAAAAAACTTAGGTAGGTCTACATATAGTACCAAATTTCATCGAAATCGGATAATTGTTGCTCTAGTTATCGTGCTAACGGAATATATGTGTGTAAAGGGTGTTTCGAAACTATCTTCCGAAAATCTGTGGACATGTTCCTCAGTCAAAACAAACAAAAATATCATATAAACGTATGACCCTACCCAAGGCCCCACTAGCCCTACCTCGCTTAGTTTTCCGTCTGTCAGTATGAACGTATTGTTTACATAGCTTCCCATAACTTTTTGGAACCACTTGAGTTACCAACTTCAAACTTAATACGTGTATGATGACTAGTAGGAACTATTTTTCTAAGCATCAAGTTTCTACTTTGTATGATTTTAAAATGGCGGCCATTTTTATTTTTCAAAGCTTAATAACTCAAAAACTATGAAAATTGAATTCACTTTACATAAATGTAAAATTGTATAGGTCCACAACACAAAATAATGGAGATAATTTCATTATTAGCGAATTTCCCTATAGGGAAGTAGCTATTACCGTAGGTGGCACGGTAAGACCTAGACCCGGGACCGATTTACTTTTTTCATTTTGATGTCCCCAGAGGCCAAAAACACCATTCGTTCAAATTTTTATATATATATATATATATAGACTTATATATATATATGTGTATATATATACGTCCGTGAACGCGATAACTTGAGTAATTTTTGTCCGATTTTGATGAAATTTGGTTTAAAGGTGTAAAGCGGGATAAACTTGAATGAGTTCGCGAACCAGCACGATCGGACCATGGGAACGGGGCTTTTTGGGGGGTTTTATGGGGTAAAAATTGGTTTTTCTCACTTTTGACCCTCAAAACAAAAGATTTCCCGATTTCTCTTTAGACCTTTTTAAAGAGCTTAAAAAAACAAATAATTTAGTATATAAAAGTATTTTTGTTCAATTATTAGTAACGGAGAAAATTAAAAAAATTGTAAATTTTAAATTCCCATGTTATTCTTATGGAGAATATTGTAAAATGTTGTAGTTTGCTTGTTTATGGATATATTTTGATCAAACTTGGCAAATTTATTTATTTTGTACTAAGCTATCAATATTTTACTCAAAAACACACTTTGTTAGTTTCCTTGTAGCAGCAAACATAGGTACTCGTTAAACCTAATGTTATTAAAATATATTTAACTGAAAATCAATTCAGACAAATGGAAATTCGCTTAGTCGGCAGGTTTGCTGCGGCGTGGGTATTTTATTATTATTTTATTATTTAATTTTTTTTTAAGGTAATACAGTACCTGCTAATTTATACAATTTGTAGTTTAAACTTCAGAAGAATTTATTTTTCTCCGTTATTTGTAGTCAAGATATGCCTTTGACTACTAATACAATAACTACAATCAATTAAACATAAGATATTAAGCACCCGTAACTACCTGCAGAAAAGCACAATTGGTTTTTATTACCCCTCTAGTGTGTAAAATCAATACTGATAATTTAACTATCACAATACAATAGCTAATGAAACATAAAATACTAAATTGTGCATTTAATCTCATTATTAATAAAATAGCACGCTGAATTTACATTCGATATTTAGTTTCTAGTGATTTGTTGCAGTCATAGAAATGACAGTCAAAGACGGTGTTTAAACTAGTAGTTTGAAAAGGTATTGTAATCAAACAGACTGTGAAAGGACAACCCCTTGTTTGGAGGGACAAAACTTATTCATAGATGGAGAGAATACTGTTAAGAGTGTGTTTGTTGCCGATTTTGTTGACTAGCTCTCAAAATGGAAATGTAGATGAATATGAAACCGTTCCAGCTCCGCCGCAAGATCTCTCGTCAGATTGTGACATTGAAGATACGAAGCTTTTACCTGACCCTTGGATTGAAACGGACGACGTAACTGGATATGTTGACAACCTAATCGCTGGTAAGTTAAAATTTCTTATTCCATATAGCCTAATGTCCTTGATCATTTGGCTTTTAACAAATAACGAGGTGTTCGCCCGTCCTACGTGCCGTAATCGAGTAGTCATTTAAAAGTGTGTATAATTCAGAACAGTTAGTTTTCACTTAGTTTAAAGACAAATTTTCTTGCAGTTTTAATGTGAAAAATCCTCTTGTTAACATCTGTTGCGTGACCAAATATATTTTCATCCCATTAGATATGCATTTTAAATCCTATAATTTTACAATAAAACATCAATTGTGTCGATGTGATAAGCGTTGAAGTAAAATTTTTAGCCGATTGAGCCGAAAGAGAGAGTAATTGTCAATTGAGATTTGAGAAGTGTAGGCCTAGTCAACGATACCAACTTCCAGTCATTATCTTACCGAAGAATTGAACGTATCAATGATTATAGCATTACACATAGTATAATTAAGTCAACTATACTTATGTCTTTTCATTTATATCCAAATGCTGAATTTGTGTCACAAACGCTAAATGTTTACACCTGTTATGTTAGTTAAGCAAATTTTATCATACCAAAATCTAGTTTAGAATGTTAGCGTCGGCTGCTAGATTTTCTAAAAATTAAAACTTAATTTCTAAAAAAAACTGGAATCCAAAACTAAAATTATGGCTCTGACATTCCCTAGTTCTCAAAATTATCTTTCTTTCAACACAAAAATCGTGAATATCCGTCAAGTAGTTGATTCAGAAACGTGAAATAAAAAACCCTGTCACGTATTTATATTTGATTGATGACGATTCTTGCTAAATAACCAGCTGATATTAGACAGGCAGTATCTTAGGCAAACAAGCTGTCATCATTTTCATGCAACACTCTTTCAAACTATGCACCTGGAGCCCCGGCGTAAAAATATCTCGAAACCTCATAAAATACCCCCGTCGCAGCTAACCTGCTCACTAAGCAAATTTCAATTTGCCTGATTAGATGTTCGCTTGAATCTATTTAAATTTTAAATAGTATTAAGTTTAACAAGTTCCCAGGTTTGCTGCTACTGGGAATAAAGTGTGTTTTAGTAAAATATTAATAGCTTAGTATAAAATAAATAAATTTTCCTAGTTTGATCAAAACATATCTATAAACAAACAAACCATAAAAGTTGAATAATCCTAATTTATTCAAGCTTTTCAAAATGGTTTGGAGAGAAATTATGAAATTTTATAATGTTAGGGTAAAAAATTTGAAAAAAAAAACTATTGTTACTCCCTACAAAACCCAGTGCCTATGGTCCGATCATGCTAGTTCACAAACTCATTCGGATAAATGTGGGTTAAATGTTTTTACAAAATTTTTTCGAAATCGGACGAGTTTTGTTTGAGTTATCGTGCTAACGGACAGATATTATATAAATACTAGTGCACCTGTTGCTCGAATTTGAGCAACTGCAAAGTATTACGGGCGTTATTACAAAACGAATAACAGTCATAATTTCTGATAACTTAAAAGAGTCAACTCAAAGATAATATAATCAATCACTCCACTCCAGTTATCGAAACTGAAAATGAACGCTCTTGTGTGTATCATGAGTTTACTATGAACAGCTGTAATTACTGTAATACAAATTATTCGTCCGTTTAAGTAAACAAAATCTTTTATCCATAAGAAATACATTGGTATTTTGATACCCTGTGGGCCAAAGCCCGAGGACTTTTCTTACAGGAATTGGTGAAAAGGGGGGTCTACACAAAAAATACTTATTTTGACACATCGTTTGTAAAAATCTGTCCATTATTAACGGAGGAGTAGTGTTTCATAGAAATCGCCTTCACGTATTATATATAAGGATATATGTGCATTTTAACGGATCTGGGGACATCAAAACGAAAAATTAAACTAGTCCCAGGTCTAGCTAGGGCTTGCCACCATACCTACGGTAATAGCTTATTCCCTATGTGGGAAATTCGCTAACAGATTATAGCACCTTTTGATAGAACATAAAATCTCCGTTACCTTTTTCCAAGGGAATTTGAAATGTTAAAGGCTTACACTGAAAAATTTGTATTACAGGAGTAATCAGCAATCAGACTAAAAAGGTCAAAATAGAATCATATTATTTCTGCAATATCCTAAACTTGAAGACTTTAATTTTTCAGGAAAACCACTGGAAACTTTTGATGGCCTTCTGTATGAAAAATTCCGTCAAAGTAAGTAACGTTGTTAACTAATAAGATTTGTGGCAGAGAGTGAATGTGATGTTTAGGGATTACGATTCTATTATTTTAGTTTTTAGTTTTATTTGGTTTCGAATTTAAAATCATTGTTTGTTAAGAAAATCATTGTTTAGTTTATATTTAGATTTACGAGGTTAACTGTAAGAAAGGACCATGTGGTCCTAATTGTTCACCTCAACAAATAAGTATTTTCATTCATTCATTCATTTATTCAGCCAGGTTCTTTCTACAATCATGTATTGTAGATGTGCTCTCAGCTTGCATAGTTAGCCAAGAAAGAACGGGTTTTGATTCAAAAAGGGGTCCGCAGGAACCACAGTAGTTAGTGGGACCTAAAAGAGAATGATTTTTCTATGGTAGGGTAGGACTTAAATCTTCAACAGTTTTTAAAGAGATAGATTTTAATTCATGAGTGAATTTATTTCCTGGACGTCCAGAGTTTGTTTTTCAAATAAGTCTGGTACTGTTAAAATTTATTTTACTGAAGAAGTTGTACTAAAACGTAACTATTTTATTATAAGTGGTTTACCAATACCTTTTTTCTTTTATTTTTTACCAGTGGCATTTTTTATTGAAGTTGATGTAATTTTTAACGTTTTTAAGGAAATTCGGTCCAAACCAATGAAAGTTTTGTGGATGTGCCATCTTACACTTATTGTAATCGTTAAATGAATTTAAAAATTGAGATATTTTCACTATTTGTTATTGCTGTATGTTACATTAAAAAAATTAATATTTTTACAAGAAATATTTGTATGATAATATTTTACCTTGTAAAATCAATTTCCAACGAAAATATTTATTAATTCTGAAGTAACGGCAATATAACGTTTTTAATTTCCAGCCCATGAGTTCTGTGACTTTTTGACATCCTATGAGCCTGAGGTGGGACAGTGGCACTATGTCCCAGCAGTGTGTGTCCCAGCCGCTGAATGCCTAGAGTCAAAGCCATTTTTTCTGACAAAATGGGGAAATAAAACATGCAGAATCGTGGGCCATGATTCGTAAGTTAAATCTCAGAATAATACAGTACTCAGAGTAATACTATGAGGTTAAATACAACTTTTTTGACTGAGCACTTTTAATTAGTGTACTATACTATAGTTACTTTCACTTCACTTCACAACGTGGTGGGAGGACCAGAAGAGGATAATTTCGTTCTTTAAATCTACTGAAGAAAACAGTATGGAACAACCACCATTGATTATTAAAATCTCAACTCTACCACTTAGTTGAAAAACCTATTATATATCTATACTATTGTATGCAAATCTAATGGTGTCTGTCTGTATATGTATTACTAATTAGGCGCAAACACTACAGAACGGACTGGGCTTCAATTTTACAGAAATATAGCTACCATATCAAGAATGGTAATAAGACTATTCACACTTCGATACTGACCATGGGCTTTGCCACTTTGGCTTTAAAAGTTATGGGGTGAGGATTTTAAATGTAAATATTGATTGGTCTCCATGGCTGCAATGAGAACACTCACAAACTACAACAATTTACTTATTCTCTAAACTTATACATTTCAAGATAGAAAAAAGTATAATAAAAATTCAAACAAATTGGTTATCTTATCTTACTAATATTATAAATGTGAAAGTTTGTGTGTTTGTTTATTTGAAGTTCAATCACACATAAACCACTGGACGGATTGGGCTGAAATTTGGCATGATGATAGCATAGATAAAAGATATTCCCCCAAGTAGATTTCTCATCCTTATGCAACAGCTGAAGACAATTTTATTGTTAGTTCTGTACGGTTTATGTAGAGGTCGTGTTTTGTTTACAATTTGTTTCCCGTTATTACAGCCATTTAAAACCTCGTTTAACAAAATAATACGATTTAATCATAAACAATAACTTGTCCCCTAGTTATATAACCAAACAGTAAAGCACAAATCAAGAAATTAACCCTAAAATAATAGAAACAAAGTTTCGTCGACACTAGCGCCCATGTGTCACGTACATGAACTAAACACGAAAAACGTGCTTCAAAATTTACAATGGGATGAGAACGATGAGAAGTCTACTTGTGTTGGTTAGTCTATGATGATAGCTTACATTCCCGATTAACATATAGGTATATTATTATCTCAAAAATCCTTTTGGGCTCCGCCCCAGTGGCTCTGCAGTTCCCCATGTTAACCTTATGAGTATTTATATTTAAAGGGCATTAAAGCATTTAGTCAGCTGTTTCAACTAAAAAAGTTGGTTCTATGACATACAAAAGCATTAAAAAGTTATAAGATTTACCAACAGGGTGCAGCACTACAATTATTGTTGCATTTATGTATACAGCTAATTTGAACTAAAAGCAGCAACAAGAAACTGTGAGCAATGAGAACTGTCAAAGTAGGATTGTTTACAGTTAGGTATTTTTTTATGTCATGAACAATTTGTAATTTGTTGTGAATTTTTAATATTTTTTTTTATTGTTTAAGTGTAATGTGGTAGAACATTATGGTTGGTATATGTGTAATACTATAGTATACCGTCAATTTAAAGAAGCAAATTTTATCAAACTGTGTCCTCCCCGATTGCAAATGCAAAGCTTGAGTATAACTGCACTACGCATTTTAAACTTATATGTCAACCCCGTACGAAGGACGGGTACTCTGCTAGTAAAAGATAAATTTGGAATATTTTACTAAAATTAGGTTCAACAAGGTAAATATAATTAGGTATTTAAAATTTACTTACCCAAAAGGCGATTTTAAAATTATAGCAAATTTTACAATTGTCACATGCATCAAAAGTAAACTACTACTTCACAAGACAGACAGAGAATGAGGGTGAAACTTGGAAAAATTATGCTTACTGTGGATCTGTTCTTTGATTGGCTAAAATTCACAAGTTCTGGAACATTCCAGCCAATAAGATCACACCACCTTGCTTCAACCTGTGCAGTGATTTGCACAGAATATTCTTGTTTTAGACTTTCAAGTTAAATTTGGTTTTATATTTTAATTTAATTTAATTTCATAGTTTTACTCAAATGAATAGTTTCCTAAATTATTTAACTTGCTTGAATAAATATTTAAAAAAATGTAGTAAAATTGTTTTTGAAGTTAACAAAAATAGCTAAAATAAAATATTGAAAATAAAATGCTACAACACTCATGAAGAAAAATTCATTTAAAAAAAAAACCGGTTTTGATTGAAATTATTAAGTGATGGTCGTTACAATTGTTAACAATATAGTGCAACCCCCCATTGCCATAAAAATTACGGTACAAAAGTTATTCTAACTTATTTCACTTTCCCATGAAAATTTTATGCGTACAAAAACGGAAAAATGGATTTAAAAAAAACTGTTCTGATATTCAGCTGTTATGGTCCTTATAGTTCTAAACAAAATAGTGCAAAGGTTTATTGCGGACATTTTCCATCACGAATGTAAAAAACAATACACAACGTTTCGGGATCTAGAATCTGATCCCGTCTTCAGGTGAAAAAACTTAACTAACACATTACAACTAACAATACACAAACGCCCAACCTAAGTTGGAATACACTACCGAGGGTAGTAGTCAAAAAATATACACTGTAGTGTATTCCAACTTAGGTTGGGCGTTTGTGTATTGTTAGTTGTAATGTGTTAGTTAAGTTTTTTCACCTGAAGACGGGATCAGATTCCAGATCCCGAAACGTTGTGTATTGTTTTTTACATTCGTGATGGAAAATGTCCGCAATAAACCTTTGAACAACATTAACTCACCATCACCAACAATGAACTTCAAACAAAGAAAATAGTGCAACTCCCCATTCCTGTAAAAATTACGGTTTAAAAGTTAATGGAACTTTTGTGATTTTACATATCATAGTTTTTTTTTTACTCTTTTCGCTTACCCGTGATAAAGGTTGTTGACACTAATGGGAGAAAGTATGTGTCAGATTGCTGATACCGTTTATTTTATAGTTGACAATATCTTGTATCCTTGCATTTCCACCTAAATGGGTCTTTGCATAGAATGATATATATATATACTAGCCAAATACCTGTTCTTCGTACGGGGTTAGCGTAAAAGTATAAAATGCTTATTGCAGTTATACTCTAGCTTTGCGTTTGCAATGTGGGAGGATAAGGCTTGAGATAATTTGGTTCTTTATATTTATGGTATGCTATAGTATTACAGATATAGTATAGTATATACGGTCAAGTATAGTATAATTATACAGTATAGTATTACACATCTACCATATAGAGGTCTTGGAACTCCATTCTCCTTCAAATTGAACTCTCAGTTTGTGAATTATCTTTTCATTTCAGTGCTGGATTGTATCCTGATCACATATCATCCATCATAGCTGAAACATTTGTGTGCTGCCCAATCAACGGCACCAAACTGTGGAAGCATTACCAACTGGCGAACAACCAGGTGAAGCCAGATCGAAGCCATACAGAGTTTGCAGAAGTTCCGACCAGCTTAGAGGAATATCGCGGACTCTGGGTGCCTTACTACCATGTTTCCGGCCGCAACTTTGACTATTTGAACAAAGCAGGTAAAGTTGGAAGCATTTAGGCTTATGTTACCTTTTTATCTACTCCTAGCATAAGTTGAGCTCTAAAAATATAATGGGTTTTCAAAACAATCAGAGCACACAATGTTAGGGCACAAAATATATTGTATAAGAGCTAGATATTCTTCATCATTCTTTATTTTATTACTTTGAGACCTTCTCTTAACTATAATAAATTAATGTGATCTTAGTGAGTTTATTAGCTGGATCCTTTAGTAATCCAGAACTTTTTGTCTTTTCCAGATCAGAGGAAACTAACTACGTTCTTTAATCGCAAGAATTATGATGCATTTAACACTGGTAAATTTATATTATATAGTTGTATTTTAATATATTTTCCTACAGTTACCTGATAAAGTGAGCTTCCTTGCGCTGATTATAGCACACAAAGTAGCTAATTGCTGCATTTACTTACTCTTGCCACGCTCATTTTACTTTGCCGCCCTACAAGATTTCAACCAAACAACACAAAGCAGTGTGCTTTTATTAGGCACGTAATACGTGTATGCTTGAAAATAAGTTGGCAACACTTAAAGATACTAAGATTACGATCAGATTGGTGCAGCGTTTCCCAGCATTTGACTCTTGATACCTTGACTTAACCTGTTGTTTCGTTCTAACATTCTTTTTCACTCAACGCTTGGATTTAATTTAATCTAACCTAAAACGTGTTGCTTAGTGTTTGAAAGACTAATTAATTATTTAAATGCTTCATAGTTATTGTAGGAAAAATATAATGTGTAGTGCGAACGCTAAGTGGCACTTTGCGCACTACCTACACAAATAACTATGTCCTAGTCCATTTAAAACAAAAAAAGTCATTTACTTTTACAGGTTGGCTGTTGTCATATATGAAAATAGAATTAATAGTGTTGTATCATAGAGACAAATTATTGTGTAGTTGAAACAGCTGGCAAAATTTTTTAATTCTTTTTAAATATGAATACTAAGGTTAACACCGGAAACTCTAAAGCCACTGGGGCAGAGCCCGAAAGGTTTTTTGAGATAAGAACTGTCTATATATTAATCGGGAATGTGATCAATCCAATGAATCCGACCAGTAGTTAATGCGTGATTGAACTTCAAACAAACACACAAACTACCACATTTATAACATCAGTATGATTTTTAAATTCTAACTATAAAAATATGAAAAAATAATAAATTTGCATTCTATTTAGTTTTGTCAACCGTTAGCTTGAATGTTACAAACAATGAATGTTTTGTATATTCATTGTACAGTAGTTGAAAGGCAGACTATAAGCTAACTGAAGGGGCGTTTGCGTGGCCTCTCCAACCTCTCCAACCATGTGCATTTTTATGCACTAACTTAATTATTTATCTATTTGATTGCATACTTTATTTTCTCTTTTGAATTTTTCAGTGTATAGACACTTAAATAAACTATTTGCTTCAGATTTAATTAAATGATTACCATTCAAAGAATTTGCACTAAATGAAATACAAGAAAACCATAGTTAGAGATGCAAGGAATAACATGGTGTAGGAAACATCACATGGAAAAAACAAAGTTTCAACTATATTTATATTTAGTTTGACATACCCATATAGATTGTACAATCTCTCAGAGGCTCAACATGTTTTCCAGCTCAAGTTTGTGGTTTTGCAAGAGGGGAGCCTTTGGGGGTAAAAGACAATAGGATAATATTCTCCTGGTTCCCATACTTGTGTGTGAAGCCTGAAGACTGTGGCAAGGTAAGTCTCTTTGTTAAATAATGTTCTTAGGTGTGAGCCAGAATAGCACGGCAACTTTGCTAGAAAATCAACATGCAGTAAATGTTGTTAACTAGGGGAATCAACCAGCTCATTGGCCTTTTTACAATTCCAAAATCCTCTAGTTCCAATGAACTAAAAAGTACAATAAATTTTAGCCTTAGTACAAATGGCAGCCAACGTCTCGCAATTCTCTCATTCAGTGCTTCCCCCTGGTGTATCTCTAGCTCAGTGATGGGATCGTACCCTATCAAACAATAGATTGGATAATAATTGATGTTGACAACATGAAAATTGAGGTATTATATTTTAAAATGAATATAATACATACACATTTAGGAAAGTTATCTTTCAATTTCAATTTTAAAGCCAATTCTTCTTCAAAAATGTATTTGTTTAACATTTGGAGGTAAAGTTTGTTAAGTTTAGGACGTTTTACCACCTACTAATGTATTGATGAATCCTAATTAAACTTATATCAATTCCAGTTTGTGAATCAGATAAATAATGACATTATTGTATTTATATTTAATTGTTAAATGAATGGACTTATCCTATAGCTATGGATTTTTAATTGTAGGTCTACCTTTAAATCAATTTTTCTTTGCAACTTTAAGGACACAGTTGTATTTTCAGGCAAAAGCGAGTGGGAAGGATCCGCTACCACCAGCCAATCCATTGTGGCACCAGTTTTGTCAGCAGAAGTTCACACCAGTGCAGAACCCTCGCAGAGACGTAGTATATTATGAACCGTTGAACCATTACCCGGTATCAAACAGATATCACCATTGCTGTCACATCAATGATATGGGAAACAAGTTTCTGAAGACTCCAAATGATGTTTATGTCCCAGTCCCTCAAATCCCAACCTTCTTCAACATAGCACCGGGTGTACGCAGCGTTTATAGTAAGTTTGATCACACTTAATACATAAATTCCTTATCAGTATTTTAGGTGTAGGGATATTGTAATAATAAAATACACCTTCCAAACAATTTCCAATAACAATATAAATCAGAGACTGGGTTGGCAAGTCTCCGACTGGTTTTTATGATTGCCGATGTAACTAGGCATAGTCAAAATGTTATAAATGTAATAAATATAATCAGTAAAATACATATACCTATTCGATCAGTATGGTAGTTTCCAAATGGTGTGTAATACTTTCTCTGTATTATTTGATCAGTGGTAATCTTCCGAATGTTTATCCTTTGTACTGTGTTTAGGTCGTGACTTGATTATAAACACATGTTATTATTCTTTGTTTTGTTTACATTTTACGTCATTAATTTGTAACCATAGTGGCAACCCATAAGGCCAATGTTAAAATTTAAAAACTTTGAGCTATTTTTAAACTATACAGGCATTATCAAAAATTTTAATTGTTCCGTTTTAGACCTTCCAAACATTTCTTGAAACAACCTTGGTACATTTGTTTAAAATATGTTCAGCTCTTATTGAGTGATAGTGTTAGAAAGTTTGCATTGAAGCCGATCCCAAAGAGTTTCGCTCCGCTCCGCTCAGTTAAAACTCTTTAATTTATTCAACCATGATCTTAGTATGACGTCTTTTATTATTTCAGAATGTGAGGAGTACGCAAAGCAAGTTTGTCGCAAGTCTCCGGATGGTAGCTCAATGTGTGTTGGAGGGCCTTTTAATCCACCAAAACCAGGTGAAAATCCTCATATGGTAAGTACTACATAGCAGAGTGGTTATAGTACTCGTCTATTAAGAAGGTTGTCAGTTCAATCCTGAAAAAAAGCTTGGTTGTTGTGTTGTGGGCTTTTGATTAATGTTCCTGGAAATCTTAATCAAATCAAATCATCTTTACTCAAACTATTTTTTACCCACAGGCTTCACCCCGTTTGACTTTATAAGTATTAACACATTAACCATTGATTGGTTAAGTTAAGCTGAAATAAACTAAACAGAATACAAAAGTACAAACAAATAATCATACCTGATTTTAATAAGGTAATAAATTTAAATAATAAAAATCTTAATATATAAAAGAAAGTTGTGTTGGTTACAGCGTTTATAACTAAATACCCCCGCCGCAGCAAACCTGCCGTCTAAGCGAATTTCCATTTGGCCGAATTGATTTTCAATTGATCTATTTAAATAACATTAGGTTTAATGAGTGCCTAGGTTTGCTGCTACAAGGAAACTAATAAAGTAGTGTGTTTTTAGTAAAATATTGATAGCTTACTATAAAATAAATAAATTTGCCAAGTTTGATCAAAATATATCCATAAACAAGCAAACTACAACATTTTACAATATTCTCCATAAGAATAACATGGGAATTTTAAATTTACCATTTTTTTAGTTTTCTCCGTAACCAATAACTTTACAAAAACACTTTGATATACTGAATTGTTTGTTTTTTTAAGCTCTTTAAGAAGGTTTAGAGAAAAATTGGGAAATTTTGTGTTTTGAGGGTAAAAAGTGAGAAAAACCAATTTTTACCCCATAAAACCCCCCATAAAACCCTGTTCCCATGGACCGATCATGCTGGATCGCGAACTCATTCAAGTTTATCCTGCCTTACACCTTCAAACCAAATTTCATCAAAATCGGATAAAAATTACTCAAGTTATCGTGTTCACGGACACATATATATATATATATATATAAATCTATATATATATATATACCTATATATATATATACATATATAAAAATTTGAACGAATGGTGTTTTTGGCCTCTGGGGACATTAAAATGAAAAAGTAAATCGGTCCCGGGCCTAAGTCTTACCATGAGACCTACGGTAATAGCTACTTCCCTATAGGGAAATTCGCTAAAAACAACTGAACCAATTGGCATGAAAATTTACAGGGATATTCCTTAGGTACTAGAATAACAATAGCCTGTTTCCGTTTCAAAAACCCTTGGGAAGTGTCCTATGGCCCTTTGCAGTTTACATGTTAATCTTATGGAAGAATGTTTTATTTTGTTTACCATGCCATGTTTGTCATTTCTTGATTAAATTAAATTAAGGAAACAGCTGTTGTAATGATAACCTAATTTTTAAAAACAAATCTATGCATAACAAATGAGAGCTATCAAATAGGTTTCTATTCCATTTGTTTTTTACAAATATTTTTGTCAAATGTAACTGAAGGCAAGTGAGCGCAGCAAACAAGCTCCAACCTAAAGGTGAGTGAGCGTAGCGAACGAACTTCAACCAGGATGTGATTGAGCCATGCGAACGAGCTCATCTTGAAAATGAACGAGCATTTAACCACATTAGGACAGGACGACGTATGTCGGGCCAGCTAGCAATAACATGCAAATAAGTACAGCTGAGGTATTTTTAACATACGGTATATGGAAAGATCACTTTAGAAAGAAATTACGACCTTAAAGGGCAATTTATGATAGTTTTGCGCAAGGTTTCTCGTCATGACGAACATTTTAAGTATATGGTTTATGGGGGTGTGACTTGTAGTTTTCTCAAAGGTTCATGGGTACTTTGGGATGGGTCTGACTTAGGGGAGGTACGAATGAGGCATTTAGTTCTAAATTCCTCCGTGAACAGCGCTGTAGTAGAGAGCACTTTGGCAATGAAGGTTTACTAATCGCAAAAATAGTTCTGTTCATAAAATAAAATTATAAATGCCTCAAATTCAATTTTATTATTTTTTAAATATAAAATTAAACTATCATAACCTAACCGAACTAACCAAACTTGCTGATAAAGAAATAATATAACAAAAGTTTAGTAATCGGAAAAATAATTCTGTTTATTAAATAAAACTGGAAATTGCTCAATTAAAATTTTATAATGACTTAATAATAAAATTAAACTGTAATAACCGAACCAAACCAACCAAACTTGCTGATAATAAAAACATCTTGGACAAAAAGTTAATGCTACCAGCGGGATTCGAACCCGGGACCTACAGCATATCAGCCCAGCACGCTAACCATTAGACCACCGAGGCCGATGGCTATTGTCCGTTTTGTTACGGTAATGGCGTTCCCTCAGCTAATAAGAAGCCCACAGCTGTCATCGTAGCCTCTTCTATACCTCCCCTGAGTAAATACCCTTTGGGGTCTATATGGATTGTGCATTCGCATACACAAAATAAAGTCAGTAATATGTATACATTCTGTTTCTTTCATTATCAGTTCTGAAATTGTCTACAGTGATTTTAACATGGGAATGGAATGCCTCTTTCTATTCCATAGTAAAAGATAATAAAAATATTTTCAAAAATATGCTTTGAACTCAGTGACATACTTGCAGGCATCCCTAGGAGTGATAGTTCTAAAGATAATGATTTTCCACTGCGGAGGGGCACTGGTTAGTCTGCGTTATGTTCTCTCCGCTGCCAGCTGTATACATTGGTGGGGGTGAGTTGAGTATTAGATGTCTTACATACACATATTGTTTTTGATAGGACTTTCAAGTGACTTTTAATCTCCTTGAAAATAAAGAACAGAGATTAGTTAATAAGACATGAATATATGTAATTCTTTTATACAAAAATGTGTTAGTAGGTACAATAATAAAATTTAGACAAAAACATATTGTATCTTGTTTTAAAATAAAAGTAAATCTTTAGATGAAGAATTCCATTTAATGAACTACAAGTTAGTTTGTTTACAAGTAAGTTTGTTTACAAAAACAATATAATAATAATTAACAACCATATGACTTTATAGTCATATGTCATCTCCCTTCTTCACTTATAAGTTAAGTCTTTTGGGAGGATTTACTCTTTCTGATGACTTTCTACTATCTACGCATTTAACTCCATTTCCATCTTCACTTCCGTTCACTTTACTTGCTCCTGCAGGTTCTTCAACGTCATAAAATCATTTCTTCAAAAACCAAGAGTTCCTTCGATAAATATTCCCATCTGGAGTTTCTATAAGGTATGATCTTGGCTCCGGACCTTTTCTTACGACTGTAGCTGGCTGCCAGTCTCTGTGTTCTTTTCTATACAGAACTTTTTCTCCTTCAAATTCTAAGTTGTTCTTTTTTGTTCTGTTACTGTATTGTCTGGATTTTTCCCGAATATTTTGCAATTCATTGTGAACGTTTTGAATTATTTTAGGTTGCAGAATTTTATCTTTGCTAGGGAGCAGTGTCCTTGTCCTGTGCTCCATTAATCTTTGAGCTGGAGATCAAAGATTTTTCCGGGGTATATTTCTTTGATGAAGTAGGGCTAGATAAACATCGGTCTTTTCTTCTAGACATTTCTTTACAATGAGTTTTGCCTCTTGAACATACCGTTTGACTAATCCATTTGATCTTGCAAACAAAGGGCTTGAAACCCTTTTTTTTGAATTGCCACTCTTTTTCAAAATTTTTGAACTCAAATGAATTGGACTGAGTACTTCCATCTGACAATAATGTTTCAGGAATTCCATGTACTGAAAACAACTTTTTGAGTTCAGTTTGTTAACTTTTTGGGAACATTTGAAGATGTTGTGGATTTTAACTCAACAATGTCATATAAAAACCGGAGTAGGAATCCGCAACAACAAGATAGTCTTTACCGGATAGGTGACAAATGTCAGTTCCTATTTCCATCCACGGTCTAGATGGTACTTCTTGCTGTAATAATTTTTCCTCGTTACTATCTTTTTGGAGCTTTGAGCATATTTTGCAGTTCAAAACATAATTTTTGATTTTGTTCCTCATATTAGGCCAGAACACGTATTCTCAAGCAAAATTTAGTGAGTCTTGTATTCCTCTGTGTCCTAGGTGGATCTGTTTTAGTGTAAGTGGACGAAGATGCATGGGCAGCAATATTTTTTCCCCTTTAAAAATTATATTTTCATGAACAGCTAGTTCATCCCAATAATTCCAATACTTGTCTGGCAATTCATATTTTTCTTCAGGCAAACCACTTAGAATGATGTGCTTAAGTTTGGAGAGTTCAGCTTCTTTTTCTGTGAGATGTTGAGCCTCCTTAAGTTTTTATTTTCGCATGGATATTACCAAGTCTACTGCAAAAGAAAGTTCTTCTTCAGGAGTAGCCTGATTTGTGCAGTCTCTACTCAGTGTGTCCGCAATATATAATTCTGTTCCTTTCTTATAAACAATTCTTGGATTGTAGGGTATTATCTCCATAACGATACGCCTAACTCTTGGAGGGGTGTCATGCAAGAGTTTTTTTAAAGATCGATTCAAGAGGCTTATGGTCAGTTTCAACTACCAGACCTTGTGATCCCCATACATATTCGTGAAACTTCTTACATGCAACTGAAATTGCTAGAGCCTCTTTCTCTAACTGGCTGTAACTTTGCTGTGTTTTAGTTAGAGATATGCTACTGGCCGATTTTCCTGTAGGAGCACTGATGCAACAGAATGTGAGCTTGCATCAACTGATAATGTTATGGGAAGTTTTGGGTCAAAGTAACAGAGCAAAGGAGGTGACGCTTCATTTAGCTTTTTGTATGCTGTCTTTTGATCAAAATCCCAAACCCAGGCTATTCCTTTGTACAGTAGTTTGCGCAAAGGCTCTGTCAACTTTGAAAATTTATTAATGAATTTACCCAAGTAACTTACCATGCCAAGATATCGCTGTAGCTCGGCTACATTTGAGGGCTGTTTTAGATTTTGTATAGCTTCAATCTTAGTGGGATCTGGAAGGAGGCCATTTCCAGAAACTATGTGTCCCAAGAATTTGATTTCTTGTGCTTTGAAAATACATTTGTCTTTGTTGAGCTTAAGACCTGCTATATTGAGAGCAGAGAAAACTTTGGAAGTCCTTTTTTCCAGAATATCAATGGTCGAGCCATGAATAAGAATGTCATCCATTGAAACTTCTACTCCATCTAAAGCCTGATAAAATGGAGCACATGCGTTCTTGAAATATTTCGGGAGCAGAGGATATGCCGAATGGCATTCTTAAGTAGCTGTACCTTCCCCAAGGCGTGGAAAAAGTTAAATACTTAGAAGTACGCTCAGAAACCTTAATTTGCCAAATCCTTTTCTGCAATCTAGGAGTGTGAAAAATGTTGAGCCATTTTGATGCTATTTCTTCTAAAGTTTGAAGTGGGTGATGGCGACGTTTAATATTTTTGTTCAAATCTGTTGGATCTAAGCAGATTCGGACTTTGTCTTTTTTGTGTACAACAAAACCATGGGGGATACTACAGGAGTAGGTTCAGTTACAGGTTTAATAACACCTAACTCTACCATGTAACAAGCTCACGCTTAACATGTTCTCTTAATGCAAAAGGAATTCGCCTAGCTGGATAGATTTTAAGTGAAGGATTGTCAACTATATCAATGTCATATTCATAATTGTTCAAACACCCTATCCCATTGAATAGGTTTTCATCAAGATTGCTACCGTGTAATTCATGTACCCTTATAACAAATCCCAATGTCTGACATGAATCTCGACCAAAATTGCTGGATAATTTCCATCAACTACAATGAAGTTGACTTTTTGTTGTGGTTTGTTAATTGTTTCTACAGTTGCAGTACATTCACCAAGCGCCGGTAGCTTGATATTTGTGTATGAAATCAAATTTTTCATCTTAGAACCATTAATTTCTAAACTACTATTTAATGCAACAGTTCTACTTATTACATTACATTGAGCTCCTGGTATCTAATTTGAAAAATACTTCTTGGTTCTTAGGAAGTATTAGGAGTTCAGTCCATTCTCCTGCTTTTTGTTTTCTTTCTTTAGATAAGGAACTAATTAATGTTACCTTGTCTGAGTTTTGAATCGAATATACTTTTCACCATGTTCATCGGAGTCCTCAGTTTTTAATGATTTCACTCGATTATTTGGTTTTGAGCGGCATCTTAGAGAAGTGGCCAAGGATACCACAGTTAGAGCACTTCTTTTGGTAAGCAGGACAAGCTCAAGGGCCATGGCGATATCCGCAGCGACTGCAAGTGAAGGTGTTATATTCTTGTTTTTTCTTCTTGCTTCTCACCTATTAAAGTTTCTTTTCCTTTAACTGCATAAACGTTGCAGCATTTATTTTCAGACATTGTAGATAGCTGAAATTCTACTTCTTCAGAAGTCTTACAGATGTTTATTGTCTTTTCAAGTGTCAAATGTTCTTCATGAAATAGTTTTTGGCGAGTGTTGTCATGATTGATTCCGATTCCACAAACCAGCCTGTCTCGTATCTTACTAATATTATAAATCTGAAAGTTTGTGAGTTTGTGTGTATGTGTGTTGCTCAATCATGCATAAACTACAGGACGGATTGGGCTGAAATTTGGCATGATGATAGCTCACATTCCCGATTAACATTTAGGCATATTCTTATCTCAAAAATCCTCTCGGGCTCTGCCCCAGTGGCTCTGTAGTTCCCCATGTTAACCTTATGAGTACTAATATTTAAATGGAATTGAAGAATCTTAACACCTGGTTCAACTAAAAAATTGTATTATGTGATGTTCAATAGCATTAAAAAGTTAATAGGTTTACCAACAGGGTGCAGCACTGTTATTTTTTTAGTGAATTTCCCATATAGGGAATAAGCTATTTATTTATGAAAACAGCTAATTTGCAACCAAAAGGTGAGTGAGCGTAGCGAACGAACTTCAACCCAAAGGCGAGTTAGCGTAGCGAACGAGCTCCAACCTACCGAATTTTTTTAAACCGTGTCCTCTCCGATAACTGTAATAAGCATTTTATACTTACATGCTAACCCCGTACGAAATCCCCTAGAAATTGTATCTCAATTGTAGGCTATATCTTGTCTAAATTGTATATCTTGTAGTTCGAAAACCCGCAAAGCGCGTAGCAACTAGTCTTCAACTTTTTGTTGTCAACATTCTTTGACCTTACAGACTATTTGCGGGAAACCAAAATTTAGTGGAAAACTTGTTGCTCCACTGGTTGACGACAGAAAAAGTCGCTGCATTTTGTTGAAAAAGCAACAAGTTTCCAAAACTCTAGTCAAAAACCTGGTTGTCAACTTTGGTGTAAACGCGGCTTTACACTACCGCTACTGCAGTTTCAGCCCTCAGAAGGCTTTCTTCAGGTGTCAAAGGAAGTAAAAAGTTGTCATTCATACGAACTCGTCACATTTAAACTACAAGAACACAAATAGGGACACGAACACGAACATAAAAACGAATAACACGTACGAGTCACAAACCTTTTTTTCTGGATACCAGCATTGATGCCTGACGCGTGCGAAGAGCTAGTCTAAACTAGTCATATATTTTCATATGGCTCATATGAAAATATGTGATAAACATATAGTCATATGTTTTCTAGACTAGCTCCTTGCGCGCGTCGCACATCAATGCCCAGAAAAAAATTTTGTGGCTCGTACGTGAAATTTGTTTTTATGTTCGTGTTCGAGTCTGTATTTGTGTTCTTGTAGTTTAAATGTGACGAGTTCGTATGAATGACAACTTTTGACTTCCTTTGACACCTGAAGAAAGCCCCCTGAGGGTTGAAACTGCAGTAGTAAAGGATCACCTGACAGTTAAGGTAATTATTAATTGTATTTTATGCCTTAAACATTTTAATGTTGTGAGCGGCCTGATCACCTGATAGTTAAGGTATATAAGCCATTTATTAAATGTATTTTATGCCTTAAACATTTTAATGTTGTGAACGGCATGAATAAAACTTGGTTTCTGGTTTCCTACTATCTTTATATGTACCGTAACAACAAGATGGCCAGTCGTTCAAACCTTCAGAGTTAAAAGTCTAGCTAATATACTGTACATAGCTTTAGAAGAATTCAACCATCACAATAACAATCATAATATATAATTATATTACATATTTTTAAATGTTTTTTTTTTCAGATATAAAGTAAACGTTGTCATGCTAGGAGAGCATGCATCGTCCTCTTACGAGTATGGAAAAGAAAGATTCTTATTAGTCACCCAGATTGTTCAACCTAATGGCTATCCACCTTCTTTCCGATATAAACCATCAAAAGAGAACAGAGCACGTCCTACTTCTGAAACAATTGACATAGCCTTGTACAAGTTGGATAGGGAAATTGAAATTACTCGTTATATTCGTCCAGCATGCTTGTGGTACGGACATGGTCAGGGTTGGGGAAACCGTACTTTCGACTTCTTAGGTTGGGGCTCTCCAGGTAATTAAGATGTGTGAGTTGTGAATTGTTTGTAATTTTCATTTACAAACAGTTTACATTTACATTAGTTAACATTTACAAACAGTGTTTGAGAAATACAATAGTGCTATACATAAGAGGATTTACTATAATCATGTTTTTGTTATTACTATATGTTTTGTGTTTACAACTTATGCTGTTGAAGACTTATTCATGGGTATACAATGTTCCCTCTAAGAGTTGTTATCCAAGAGTTCAAGAAGAAAGGCAATAATATGTAGTGCTTGAAAACTGAAATGTAGGCTTCAGTTAAAAGTTGTTTTGTTAAGTGGACAAGATAACATACCCTGTTTATGTATGTACCTATTAAAGAATGAGTTCACAGCATAAAAAAGTATCAAGGATAAGATAATAAAGCATGGTTCCTAAGTTTACAAAATTGTATAAGAAAGTAAGATAGTGTTGAGTTTAAAACCACAGTTTGTACCACAAATATTAGAACAGACCGGTATGTGTCATAAGCATAAACAAAATTATACAACTGGCAACTGTCCCGTATCCTATACTAATGAAATAACATAAACATGATTTAGACAGTTCCATTTAAGCAATCTATACTATATAAATAAAAATTATATTTTTGTCTGTACATAGTTTAGAATCATAAATATTTTGTTTATTTTTGTTTAATACGATAGGAAAGCAGAAACGTGTGTTATCTCAATATTTCTCTCTGTCCGTCTATCTGTGACGCTCAAGATGGCATTTTACGCTCTTTTTCTCCTGGAAAAAGACTAACAGATCAAGATTAAACTATTTTGATGTATTCTCTCCATATATGATAAGGTTTTTAATTACTTGCAAAGTGTCTACATCCATTGGAAATAAAAACAAGAACACTCAAAAACCCAGTTTTGTGCTGTATTAGACTCATTTTGTTCTAAGTTTTACCATACAAGTCGAGTGATTTATTGTAAAAAAATAATATCAGCTGTTCCTAGAATATTTTACGCCTAACACAAAACCTTTTTTTACAATTAAGTACCAGGAGACCGATCTTAGCTTGGATCAAATTAAACATTACATTTATTATTTAAAATAATTAGCTAAGATAAAGATATTTATAATGCACGGTGTCAATGTGAACACATTTTATAAAAATATAGATGATAGAAAAAAAAACATTTAAGTACCGGTACATTATTTTAAAAATAACATTTATCTTATAAATGTGTTAATTGCAATAGAATTAACCTGTATCAGCTGGTTTTATTAACTACAGCTACAAAAAGGTATTGACATTAGCATGTGCACTTCCAAGGGCTGTAGGGCGGAAACTGGATTTTCCCCAGCCTTGTGACCAATTCCAATTCCAATCGATTTGTCATGATCAAATACCCCATTGTCAACAAAAAAATATTTATCCTCCGACGAAAATTAAAGTTTGTCCACACACTCGCTTGTTTTAGAGTATAGGATTAACCGATCAGCATACAGGTCAAGTATAACATAAAAAACAATGTGGCTACAGTACATTGACATATGTAGGGGTCAGCTATGGCTAGCCTTCTAGGCACTATTAATTGTCACTCTGTTTTTGTGGCTCTCACTGTGAGGCACTGTTGGAAGTATACACCAATGGAACACAGAATTCTTCAGAATGGAACACAAATGGAGAAAGGGTTATAGTAGGACATCTTGAGGCAATCTGGGTTTTAGCCGGATTCTCTGGATTTCAGAAGGTTGACCTGTGTTATAAATTCAAATGCTGCTTGTTAGTGAAAGTTTTGTAAAGAATTTTAAGATAGTTTTCTTGATGAAATCCTCTAGGTTCGATTCCCAGTTCTAAATGTATTTGACGGGTTCGAACATACCAGTTACATTTTGGGACTATCCTTAAATATTATTTTGAAAGGTTTGCAGTTTACGAATTGACCTTGATGAAGCAGTTCGCCATACTGGGCTGGCGTACAACAATTAATAGTGGACGTAGAAGAGCTTTGTATAGAAGGGTTCCATTTTTAATAGACAAACATGATTTTTTGTTGATTAAAGGGAACCAATTTAATAATATGCCATTAGCCAATTTTAATTTGTTGTTAATATAAAATTTCCAATGAAACTTTTGGTCCAAGTATACAACTAAATATTTTATTACTTGGCCTGGAGGGTTTTGTGTGATCTGTTCACCTAGAATTTCAATATTTGGAGCATCTGACTGTTTTCGGAGGGTAAAAATCTTCACTTTATCTTCATTGGATTTATAGCTATTCTCCATTTTGTGAACCATTCCATTAAATCGTTTAAGGAATTTTGAATGTTTTGGGCCACAATTTCGCTGTCATGGTGTGTAGAGTCAGAGTAGAGGAGGGTGTCATCTGCAAACGCGGCTGTTTGGACTGGTTTGATTAAGGGCAGACCAGAAGTGTAAATATTCAACAACAGTAGTGGTGAAAAATTGCACCCTGTGGGACTACGGCTTGTATTGGTCTGGTAGTTTATAGAGAGCCATCAATAAATGTCCTATTTTTGAGGAAGCTTTCAATTATTCTTTGTAGGTAGGAATTACGGGACTCCGAACTTTCTTAGTTTAAATAACAAGCCATCGTGCCATATCTAAATATGCTAATAGAAGGTGAATGTCACAGACTGTTCAAGAAGTTAGTCAAGACTACGAATCTGATGGTGGTGGTACAATACAATATTCTGAATCCGAGCTACAAGGAAATGAAACAACATTAGATGACTCTGAAATTTTGTCCGGACAAATGAAAATATAGTTCAGTTCTCACTCTTCCACCATTTTGGGAGCAAATGGCACGTTCTAGAGCACGGCAGTCGGAGGTTGAGAGAAAACAACGATTGCCCGGGATAGAGAGCTGCATCATGTTAGACGACAAGCTGGAGAGGACGACCGTGAGGAAAGGCGAGAGGATGACAGAGTGCGACATGACCTAAGGCGGGTTACACGCCGGTATTGCAGACATAATGTCACCGATATTTCTGATGTCGCGGGCATGATGTCTGCGACATATAATAAAATACAACCATGGGAAGAGGCAGCTGGCGACATGAAAGTGAAGGAATCACAACATTTATCAGTTTAAATAATGTCATCGTCAGCAGAAGATGCTGTGATGTTGCTGTTGTTCTTTCTACAAAAAACATTAAAGATAACTTCATGGTAATTTTTCCAAAATACATTGTAATTAATTGTATTACAGTACTTACGTAATTTCCTTATGGTGTCAATTGAAGTATTATAATATCACAATACTACATTTCACACCATAAGGCAATTAAGTAAGTAAATAAAGCGCCAAAACTACTAGAAACATGTTCTGCTCATGCGCAGGCCCAAGAGACAAGAGACATGTCTGTCCAAACACCGACCGGTTGGTTCGCTCGAGACACGCGCCTGCGACTGCGACACTGGTGTGTATAGCTCCATAAGTTGACCTAGGTTGGTTTTTGAGGGGCATGTCGCAGGCACAAAAAATATCTGCAACATCATGTCGGAGATACCGGTGTGTAACCCGCCTAAGACAACACGCTGAGACCGTTGAAGAGCGCGAAACTCGCCTCTTTATTAACAACCAAAGGTACCATCAACAACACAATCTGATGCTGCAAACTGAATATGTCCGTATTGAGATTCTTAGAGCGGAACAAGGCCAAAAAGAAATAAATGCCCAAACTGTTGCTGACGCCAAAAGACTCAGTGTGACAAGACAAATCGAGACTGCCCAAGGCAGATGACTTCAACGAGAAAGGACACGACAGACTTCACAAGAAAAACTTAACAACAACATTTACTCACTTTTATATCAATCTATTATATCTTATTAAGTAAATCAATTCAAATATACCAATGTGTTCAATCATCAACTCTAACAAAATACGCAAGCACCACACAAGGCCATGACATTTATATCACAAAAGTGTTAAATAATTTTTACTATTGGGCCAGTAACATCATTTGTTTATGTTTATGGTCCATACCGGGTCTGCTCTAGTTTTCAGGTTTTGTATTCATAGTTTTTAAATACATCAGAACATGGTAGTGTCTATATTTTGGATTGTTTGGTATTTGGCATGATGTTAGTACGGTAGGGTAAAATAGTAAATTTTTTATATTTTTACAGGGCTAAGCAAAGGTAAGATGCTATATCTAGCCATTTGTTTTCAAATAAGCTATTTAATTACCAGGTAGTTAATTGATTATTATGTTTTCAAGTCAATATACATTACTTTGTTCAAATAGAACATCCTAAATGAGTATTTTCCTGATTCTAGACACCTACAGAAGTGAATACTTGAATACATTAACAAGTGGTCTGACACAGTCTAAATCTTGCACCAGCGAATTTTTCAAAGATGACACAGGAGAAAACCCTTACTACAGGGTTTTTGGAGCTCCTGTAAGCTGGCAAGTGTGTTCGAAGGGATATCCTGACGTAAATGGAGAAAATAAGGGTCCCTGTTTGGTATGTTTCATAGTAGATTATAAACATATACTAGGTGAAACCCGTCGAAATCGACGGTTACTTTCAAGTCTTACGCTAATTCATCTAACTGCGATAAATTGGGTGAAATATACATATTTTGAGAATTTAGCATTGTTCAAAGAGTTATAAGTGTAAAAACAATAATGATATTAATTGCGTTAGTTGCCAATTTTGGTTGATCATTCAATGATTAAAATATTTCCTATACTGTACGTCATCGGAGTTATTATTAGTATGTTATATGGTATCTCTTTCTTTGGAAGAACCTTTAAATAGTATTCAAATCGTACTGGTGGATCTTTTGTAGTTAAACACTTCCGTGATTTCATCAGTTTGGCCCAATATGATTTTATTTGAAGAGAAAATATTTTTGGGAAGACATATTCTAACTTCAAAGGGAGGTATATCCGTTACAGTGTAAGTTGGATTTTTCCTTCGTCACGTCGCGTCAGTTCATACCGTACTTCTGTGACAATGAATGAACCCTCTAGCATAGTTTTGAGAAATTGATTGTGCGGTTACTGTTAAAGCTGGAATTCCTTGACATGGAGGATGTCAGTTAGTTGTCTCAGCCTTATCAATAACATAAAGTTGTCAATATAATCTCTATACGGAATGTTAGGTGTAGTGGAATACTTGAAGTGAAGTTGGCTTTTATTATTGAACTGTTAGGGGCCTCCTAGTTCATATGGTCTTGGTGGCTTCATTGGCAACAAATAATGCAAATTACATAGCAATGGGACATTTCTAAAAAGTGAAAATACTGTAAATTGGCTGGTACGTATATATTGACGTTTACATATTGTTAATCAACGTCTCTTATAAAGAATTATTTCATCTGCCGTAGTTTAAAAGGAATATGACCTTTCTGTCATGACAGTAGCTGCTAAAATAATATTTTCTCTTTGTGCCATATTTTATAGCCAAAATGTGTTATTTTCAATAATACCAACCCAGTGCACCAAAGTCCGTAATATAGGCAGGTGCAAATAATTTGTCAACATGGGTACCATTTAAGCAAGGTTTCTATGTTTGGATTTTATTAGACTTGATAAGAGCTAAGAGCAGATATTTCTACATAAATATTTGATATGTGTAGAATAATATGATAAAATGTAGGCAAAAGTGGTGAAAAAGGCAGACACCAACCCGTACAATAGATATAAGAGAGTTCAATAAGAAATAATTTAAGAATTGCTGTGATAAAAGGATTTTCCACTGATTTCGTAATGGATTGTTATATATTGCAAAACATGACATGATAAAGAAGAAAATCAATTTTAAAATAAGAAAATAACATTGCAAAATACTTATTTGGTAGAATCATAGATAAAACATACTCCCTTAGTAGATTTCTCATCCTTATGGAACAGCTGAAGACAATTTTATTGTTAGTTCATGTACGGTTTATGTAGAGGTCGTGTTTTGTTTACAATTTGTTTCCCGTTATTACAGCCATTTAAAACCTCCTTTAACCAAATAATACGATCTAATCATAAACAATAACTTGTCCCCAAGTTATATAACCAAACAGTAAAGCACAAATCAAGAAATTAACCCTAAAATAATGGAAACAAAGTTCCATCGACACTAGCGCCTTTGTGTCACGTACATGAACTAGACACGAAAAACGTGCTTCAAAATTTACAATGAGAAGTCTACTTGTGTTGGTTAGTCTATGGTAGAATTCAGTAACTCCCAATAAATGTGTGTTGTTTGAAATACAATTTAAAAATGAACAGCTGTTTCATTAAAAAGTATTATTCACATGGCCAAAATGTAAACAACTCTGTGGAGGGATCTTTAAAGGCTTCTAGGGAAGAGTCCTAAGGGATTTTGCTTAGTTTTTATTTTGATAACTCATCTACAGACCAATACCTTTCTTTGGACACCCCTACCAAGTTTCTATGCCCAGCCATTCTCTCAAATTAGTGGGACAAAGTTTCAAATTAAATATTTATATTCCCCCATCTTATGGGTTAATCTTATGGGAGAAACTCCAACATTGATGGCCTGTGGGGCAAAGCCTAAGAACTTTTATTACAGGAATTAGCAAAAGGGGGTCTACACAAAAAATACTTTATTTTGACACGTCGTTTGTAAAAATCCGTCCATTATTAACGGAGGAGTAGTGTTTCGTAGAAATCGCCTTCACGTATTATATATAAGGATTCCCTCATAGATTACCCTCATAACATCCATGTCTATGTTATTTGGTTTAACCATAGAATGTTTAATACCTATAATTTTGTAGACCAAATTTTAAGTTTACTATTTTCTTTAACCTGGTTAAAAATATATGTATTTTTATTTTTAAATTTTGTAACCAATCAAAATTTTGTGTATACTAGTTTTGCTGAGGCTGTTAATATGAATGTTTTATCTATTACAGTTAGACCATGGTGGTCCTTTGCAAGAAAAAATGAGTAAACCCTACTGCTCTACTCTACTCTTGGGAATTTTGTCTACACGGAATCCTTGTAATCCCAAGACGGTACCTAATGTTTTCATCAACATCTCCAACTTTTTGGGTGCAATAGAAGACGAATTGTGGGGGAAATACACATTTTTAGACCTTACAAAACAACGTTTCCAGAAGCCATCGTGTGGAAATGCCAAAGAGTTTTTCTTTTTTAATAAATGCAAATATGGGGATGATTGTTAACAGATATAAAATGTTTGGCAGTATACTATACAAGAGTCAATGATACAAGTTTTATCATGTTTTGTAGTTGTATATCACATTTGTATTGTTCCACTCCAAGTAAATATTTATGGTTTGAACCATTTATCTTGAAGTAATATTATTTTACATCCTCAACTCAAGCTTAAAGATTGATGCTGTTTCTTGTTTTTAGTAGGTACCTATCCAAAAATTAACTAATAAAGTTTAGATAGCCTAGTGTTTTTAGCGAATTTCCCATCTAGGGAATAAGCTATTATAGCGTAGGCAGTGTATCCACACGACCAAAATAATAATCCCGCCTACTGGGTCCAGAAATCCTGTTTCATCCCGCTTTAGAGTCATGAAAAATCCTGTTTAATCCCGCTTGATTTTTGGTTAAATCCCGAGTGTTTTTTGTGACATATCAGGTCTAAGTAGTTTTTAAACATTGCTATTATATTTTTCTACATTAGTTTTATCAATTGGGTTGTTACTCATATACAATTGTATCAATTGTTGGGTATTCTCTTAAATTAAAAATAAAATATAATATCCCAACCGCAGAAAACCTGCAGATAAAGGGGCTGTTTCCTATTTAAATATCATTAATTTTAATGAGTACGTAGGTTTGCTACAACAGGGAGACAATAAGGTGTGTTTTTATCGAAATATTTATAGCTTGCTATAAAGTAAACAGATTTCCCAAATTTTATTAAAATATGTCCATAGACAAGCAAGCCCAACGGGGGGAAATGGTCACACAGTTATGATGGGCTCTAATCAGATGGGCCCATAACCGTGTGACCATTTCCCCACGTTGGGCCAACAATAACAAACAAAAATATATATATGAACAACAATGTGTGCTACTTGGGCGGACATCCGGTACCTATGTTAAAAGTTCACTTTATAAGATAGTCTAAACATTTTGTTTAATAACTGTTTGGAAAAAAAGGAATTATTTTTGGAATGATTTTAAGACAACTTTAATATACATGCGACTTTTAGTATAGGCTACTTTAATTATTTTAAAAAGTCTTTTAGTCATGGCCCATGGCTCTAAAACAATTCTTTAAGGACACTAGTTCTATTTAAATCGGGAATAATAATGTTTTATTTTTAAGTAGACATTTCAGTGTAAATCCAATCAGTCAAATGGAAATTCGCTTAGTCTGCAGGTTTGCTGCGGCGGGGGTATTTTTTAGTCAAAATTTGCAATTTCTCCCCCATGTTTCACACTAGTCCTATTTATTTGCACTATTATAGAAAAACTCACTGTTTCTGTTTGCTTAGATCTTGTCAGTGTTTCTATTTATTGTATTGTAAATTAATTCACTGTTTCTGTTTGCTTTGATGTTGTTCTTGTTTCAATTTTTTGTATTGTTAAGCATATTTTACTTTGCTTTTGCTTGTGACATTTGTTGCACAAGTCAATTTTGAATTATTCTGTATGAATTGGCATTTTGCCGGTAAAATAAATAAATAACAAAATAAATAAATAAATAACAATAGACCTCGTCTCAGAGACACATTATATTGGTTATATAATATACTACATAAATACTACTTATATTTAGTATTTATGTTGTAAATATATGTTTCTATTATATAGTATTAAAAATTTGACGATTTCCGTAACCACGGTCAAAGATAAAGAAGACAAGTATCAAGTAACAAGTAAGTAAGTATTGGCTACTAAAAAGCGATATATATCACAGTCGCATTTTTTTAAGCATATAAAATAAATAGATAGGTTATTTTTAACCCCCTCAAACAGTGTAGAAGAAGACGAGGATGAGGTCAAATACTCAAACTCAGCTGCATTTTATACATTGAAACCTTGAAAAGCCAGACAAAAACAAGAAAAAGTTATCAGGTGGACTGACTGAAGTGTGAGTTCGTTCGAGTTCCGAGTTGTGAGTTGTTGTTTGAGGGATAGCGCTGGGTTCACAACGATATGGTAGGCATACGGTTAAGTATCGATCGTCGTAGTATGAAAACAGCTACTATCGAATATCGTAAATCGATTGGCTTCCATAGCGCCAACCAACCAACCAAAACGTAAACAAACCAGTTTAGCTGCTAACTCATGTTTTCCAATTTTTATTTTATTAATAAAAATGTCATCGTATTTAATTATTAATTGTTTAATGTAAAACAGATTGTAAATAAACTTTGTTAAAAAAAAAACCAAACCAACCAACACCGACACTCGACAGACAGAAGAGAGAAGACAAAAAGGGATTACAAAAACTACTAGCACTAGCCTAAAAGGAGAGGAAAATATTTGATTAAATTTATTCCAACATTGTTCCTTTTGATCAGTTTCATGGTGCATAGTGCATTATTATGGAGGAAATATGCAAAGGTCATCTAAACGCTTTTAAAAGTAAGGGGGTGGTAATTTATCTGGCGTTAATTGCGCAAGTTACTGGAATATTAATTTTAAAATTCCTCCGTAATTTAAGTTCTTATATATTTATCATGCTGGTTATCGGCCTTACTGTAATTGGATAATAAACATTTTCATTGGCAAATTTTATGCCAGGTTCAGATATTATGTTGTACTTATTTATTTGCATTCACTCTCACTGTAATATTGTGAATAAAATTATGGCCTTCCGTCGTCAAGGCCACATTATGACGTTTGACGACAGACATAGGAGCTATAGGAGCAGCTGCAGCAGAAGGCACCAAGGCAATAGTTTACTATTACTATTCCACCATGAGTATGAGACAGCCGGTGCGGTGAGCCAGAGAGCCGACAGCCGATGCCGATACTAAAAGTCGATGTCTGTCATCCGGTAGAAAACAAGCTCGATATTTAACCGAATGCCTACTATATCGTTGTGAACCCAGCGCTATCCTTGTTTGAGTAGTGTGATTGTGAAGTGAAGTGCGAGTGTCACTGTCAGAGTGTCAGTTCAAGTTCAGTCAGTTCAGTTCAGTTCAGCGTAGTGTGTGTGAGTGCTAGACACTGAGGTTAGGATGGGATAAACAAACAACAAACTAATTAATTAAATATTATTATTCTGTTTAGCGATTGATTTTGAAGGATGGTATGATCGAAGGTGATTAAATCTTGTGCCTTATGTTACTATGGAAGTTTTCCCTTTATAAGAAACGGCTAGAATTACTAGGCCTTACTGTAGCCTATTTATCTGTTGCACTGAAGGTTTGGGACCAAGGCCAACTTTAAATGTTATTTTTATTGGCTTGGTTGTGGCTTAAGTTTAGTAACCTTTATTATATCGTTTGAAAAACCTTACTTGTCCAGAGTAGTCTATTTTTCACACATTCCAAATCGTTTTTATAGTTAAACTTTGTATAAGTTAGTTTTTGTAGTAGATGTTAGTGCACTTGATGGAGTGTAACTAACCCATGTTAAAATTTTCATGAAATTTGCTTGTATTGTTCTAGTATAAAATAGATTGTAAATAAGTTAAATACTTGTTTACAAAAATAAGTTACTGCAGTTTGGTTAGGTTTAGTTTAGAACAGTTAGCCTACATTTTATAATTAGCTGGTAGTTAATGTATAATAGCATTGACTATTAGCGTATGTTTTATCTACGCTATTAGGGATGGGCACAACTGCCAAAATCACACAACCGCTGCGGAGTGACAACCGTTTAACTTAAACGTTTGTTGACAACTAACTGTTGACCTTGGCACTGGCGTTGCATTGTGTTTGTGCACTGTTTACATTTACAATAAGCTTAGCAGCTCAACTGAGTGCACAGTTACGTTGTTGTGAATGTATTTTACATTTGGCTTTAGTTATAGAAATTCGATTGCTTGCATAAATTAAATTGGTAATTATTTGGACGTAGTGACTACTCGCAAAAGTGAAATTTTTTTTTTCATAATGACCTAAATTTCACGCTAAATCCGAAAATGGCGTTTTTATTTTTCGGAAAATACCGGAAATTCCCGAAAAAAGGGAAAAACGGGAAAAATATTTTTTTACTCAAAATACGTCATGTGGGTACTCAAAATATGCGGAATATTGTGTAGATTAAGAATATGCAAGAATTGTTTTGATCCGATGAAAAACACCAGAGATATGACGAAAAAACTGAATAATCTGTTAGGTTAGGCTTGGTTAGGCTAGGTTAGGTTAGGTTAGGTTAGGTTGGGTTAGGTTAGGTTAGGTTTGGTTTGGTTAGGTTAGTTTAGGTTAGTTTAGGTTAAGTTTGGTTAGGTTAGTTTATCAATAACATGAGTATTGTAAGTAAACTAACCTAACCTAACCAAACCAAACTTAACCTAACCTAACCTAAGCAAACCTATCCTTACCTCATCATTAGGTTAGGTTAGGTTTGGTTTGGTTAGGTTTGGTTGGGTTTGGTTAGGTTAGGTTAGGTCTGGTTAGGTTTGGTTAGGTTAGGTTAGGTTAGGTTTGGTTAGGTTAGGTTAGTTTAGGTTAAGTTTGGTTAGGTTAGTTTATCAATAACATGAGTATTGTAAGTAAACTAACATTGTAAGTAAACCTAACCTAAACTAACCTAACCAAACCTATCCTTACCTCATCATTAGGTTAGGTTTGGTTTGGTTGGGGTAGGTTAGGTTTGGTTGGGTTTGGTTAGGTTTGGTTAGGTTGGGGTTAGGTTTGGTTAGGTTAGGTTAGTTTAGTTTATTAATAACATGAGTAGGCCTATTGTAAGTAAACTAACCTAACCTAACCTAATGATGAGGTTAGTTTAGGTTTGGTTAGGTTAGGTTAGGTTAGTTTAGGTTAAGTTTGGTTAGGTTAGTTTATCAATAACATGAGTATTGTAAGTAAACTAACATAACCTAACCAAACCAAACCCAACCAAACCTAACCAAACCTAACCTAACCTAATGATGAAGTAAGGATAGGTTTGGTTAGGTTAGGTTAGTTTAGGTTAGGTTAAGTTTGGTTTGGTTAGGTTAGGTCAGTTTACTTACAATACTCATGTTATTGATAAACTAACCTAACCAAACTTAACCTAAACTAACCTAAACTAACCTAACCTAACCTAACCTAACCAAACCAAACCTAACCTAACCTAACCCAACCAAACCTAACCTAACCTAACCTAGCCTAACCAAGCCTAACCTAACAGATTATTCAGTTTTTTCGTCATATCTCTGGTGTTTTTCATCGGATCAAAACAATTCTTGCATATTCTTAATCTACACAATATTCCGCATATTTTGAGTACCCACATGACGTATTTTGAGTAAAAAAATATTTTTCCCGTTTTTCCCCTTTTTTCGGGAATTTCCGGTATTTTCCGAAAAATAAAAACCTCATTTTCGGATTCAGCGTGAAATTTAGGTCATTATGAAAAAAAAAAATTTCACTTTTGCGAGTAGTCACTACGTCCAAATAATTACCATTAAATTGGCTGTAGCCTAGTAGCCTGTTGCCATACATGGCATTTTATAGAGTAAAAATTGACATAACTTGGAGTAAATCTAAAATGAACATGAATAAAAACGACAAACTTAGGATAGCATTTGCATTCTATTATTTGAGTACGGTAGCCTACGATAAGAAAGAAATTAGTTTTTCATGTAACCTCGGTCTTAAACAACAACGACTTCGCCGCGAAACAGTTGAATACAACTGCCTCAGCCTTTTTTACACAACCGTTTAGGCTAGCTGGATAACGCGTGCATCTGGCCAGCCCACAACCGAACCGAACAGTTGTTGTAGAGCGTTGCGGTTTGCAGTCGCGCAGCTATGAACTCCCGGAAACAGTTGTCGACAACTGCCAGCTCTCCACAACAGTTTAGCTGTGCAACATCCTTCGCGCCACAACCTTTGTCAAACAACCGTTGCGTTGTTTTTGCCCCACCTCTAAGTAAATGTAGGACATATCCGTAACTAAAGTGCAACCGCCTATATTTTAAAACAATAGTTTTAGGCTAATTTTGAAATCGATACACCCAATGCATATTTAAACCTGCACAGTTACCTACACAATTACCACTATCATTTTTTCATGTTGCATTTATGGTATTCTATTAACCTAAACTCTAAGGTTTAAATTGTGGTCCCAAAAGTAAAATATGCTGGATTTGGACTTCCTACCTATAAAAAACCTACCTTGGCCTTATTTTAAATTATTAAATACAAGTCAAGGGAATTATTAATGGAACAGATTAAGTTATGGTGTAATCTGGTCTTCTTAACGGCACATTGCAATCTCACAAGCTAGGTTGTTGTCAAGTCATTGTTACTAACAAAGCTCTCAAAGTTAAGTGATACATTTTCTAACACATTTGTTTTGATTAAATAAAAATGAGCCTCACAATGTTTTTTCATTGTATGCGCAAGAGGCATTTTGATTAGAGATACTCAAACAATTTCTTTGAAAGCAGAACAAACATTTCTCATTTTAGTTATATAGGCCTACACGAGTGACTGTCACTCTGAAATTCGAGACACTTACCACTAGGACACATATTCTTAGTTGAGTGATTTGGCTTAGCTAATTTATTTGGATAAGTTTGCATCCACTGTAACTTAACTGTACCCTATGTGTATAATTGGCAAATGTTTGTTTTTCAATAACTAATAGGCTAAGGTACATTTTATTGCTAGGTTCATTCAAGAAAATTGTCCTTAAAATGAGTCCTTAAGTTAGGTTAAAAGACACCTTAATGCTTTTTAATTTAATCATTATATAAACCCGAGTCTGAGATTCATTGATCCAGAAATCTCAATAAAAAAAAACTTCAAACTATTTAACCTTATTTGTTTGAAAGTACGCCACCAGTGATAAACAATTCACTTTTAACAGTCGTTCCAAAAGTTAAATTGTTTTCAGGGTGATTTGATCAAATGACTCTAAGAACAGAAATGCTGTGGAAACCATGGAGCTGGCTGTATGTGGTCTGTTTCTTGGATTTGTTTGGTGCAAGTTTGATCATGCCAATGTTCAGTGCCCATCTCCGCTCTCTGGGAGTCTCACACACTGATATCGGCCTGCTCAGTTCCATTTACGGAGCCACACAGCTCATCTCAGGACCTGTCATTGGTAGTTGGAGCGACATCAATGGTCGTAGTCAAATCTTGTGTTTGTCTATGATAATTTGTTCGGTAGCTTACGGTTTGATGGGTATAATCTCGTCATTTGCCCAGTTCTTCTTTATCCGATGTGTTCTTGGATCCTTTAAACATACACAGACTCTGTCTAGAGCCTTCATATCCGATATTGTACCTGAAGAGAAACAAGCTTCTGTCCACGGAATCATGAATGCTTTCACATCATTTTCATTCACCATCGGTCCTGTAATCAGTGGGCATATGATGGAAATGGAAAATGGATTCCTGAATTTAACCAGAACAGTTATGTTAATATTTATTTTGAACACAACAGTAGTGTATATTTTTGCTAATAAAACTGACAAGTCTTTTAGCAAAGAAAGTTATTCAGAGAGAAGGAAGCTATATGAAGACATTGTTCTTGTTTTTAAAGAATTATATAACATTAAGTGGACAAGTTTCTGGGCTTTGTTCAGTGTAAAGTTTTTATTCGCTTTGACAGGAATGTTATTTTTTCAAAACATGGGTGTTATTTTAACCGAAAACTTTGAAATATCCCACAAGTCTATGGGATATACAATATCTTTTTATGGTTTTGTGTCTGTTTTATGTAACTTGGGCGTGGGACAAATCAAGCACTCAGGCTTTTTACCAAAGTCCAATCTAAAAAGCCTAACTTACACTTTTTTCATGATGGCTGTTACTTTTTGTTTATTGTATGTTACAAATAGTTACCAAATCTTTGTGTTGGGAATTATTCCTCTGTCTTCTAGTCATGCCCTGACACGGATATTGTTGACTGAAGTATTGCTAGAACAGTCGGATGCGTCTTGTGTTGGGTCGGTGGTAGGGGCCTCAAGTAGTATCACGTCTATTGCCCGTATTCTAGTTCCGTTCATCTCCGGACTCATCATATCCTGGGGAGGGGTTTCATGCGCTCTTTTGGTCTCATCCGTGATAGCATTTGGTGCTTGTCTGTTAACTGTTCTCTATACTCAGACTACTGATAAGTCTCTCAAGCCATCTTCAGACTAAAATCTACTTCCCTGCCAACAATAAGTCAACTCAAATTAATTTATAAATTATGTTACCAAACAAAATAAATGGGGGGATTAATTCAAATTAACTCAAATGTTTAGTCATGTAGTCTGTCAAATTTTAAGGGCAGGATCACTTACTTTAGATTAAAAACATCACTGTATACCTTTTTGGTGGTACAGAGAAGGTTCTTAATAAAATAGCAGTGTGAGCAAATAATCTGTATCATTCGTACCCCAATAAATCACTGGGTACTTTAAAATTATATGATCATGTTCTTAGGTAATTATTGTTCTGTGATACTACAAAGAATGCTCAAATGTTTAGTTGTGTATTGCCATGTTACACAAACTAATGTAAATAAATGTGTTACTTGAAGTGTTACGTCTTTGTCATTAACTACCTTCTTAGGAGCAGAAAACAAACTATTGATAATATTGTTACCTATGGGTTCATTACAAAGGGAATTTAGTATATTTATTTGCTTTTCTGAGCCTAACCTGAGAGAGATGAACTATGCAATATAAATCAACCAATACATTTCAAGGGTGCTTCATGTAAATGTTCTATCTAGCAGGGCTAATTCTATCTTGTTCCAGGGGTAGGCTGAGAAAAAAATCCTTTCTTAGTGATGTGCGTATCGATGCGAGGACCGCAAAATATCGATATTTTGTATCGATTCGTGGGAGTGTATCGATATGCCCGTATCGATACACCTATAGCCAATATCGTATTGTTTATTTATTAATATAAATTTTTTTTTATGGTAAGAAATTTGTCTTCCCATCTTCCTCCACTCAAAAGTAGTAGTGAAAATTTGATATTTTACCCTAGCATCTTAAAAAACACTGGTAAAACCTGTATTTTCAGCTATGTTTTGCAAATAACCTCAAAACTAGGGCCACCATTGATGGAAGTGAGGACCCTCATTATCCAGTGTTTTGTTGATTTAAGTATAGGACAAAAACTGAATATGTAATAAAATGGGATCTGGCACGTACAATCCTTCCTTCGTAAGCGTATGTCCAGTGTACATATGCTCAAAGTCATGGCAAAGGTAACTTGGGAAATTCCTTCTTAGTCAGTTTTAAAGGATTACAAACTATTGCGTGGTATGATAGTTTGACCCGAGTCAGGAATATGTGTAAAGAGTCAGGTCTCTTTTCGCTTTCCACATCACATAATGATATGCAAGCACTCACTACTCTAGTTATGAAATATACTATTTTAAACTTCTAATACTGTAGGGTTTTGTACTAAAACAAGGACAACCCATTCCAATTATAAAGGACATTTAGGTTAAAAGGCATAAATAAAGGAGATATTGAGTAAGTATAATATTTATTTAGTCTTAAAAGTATACAAAAAATAACAACATTAATAAACTCAAAGTCTAACAAGTATTTCTAGACTAAAATTATTCTATAGTTGGAGCTTCCAGCAAAGCTACATTGGAAGGACTATTTACATGCAAAGCAGGACTCATCCACACAGCCTCCAAAGGAGGGTACCAAGACCACTCCTGTCATAAGTAACATACTAAATATTCACATTGTAACCATACCATGAGCTGAATCAGTACAATTTAAAAGTTTTAGGTACATAATAAAAAACAATATTGTGATGTGAAATGGGATTTTTTGTCACATAAACCACAGTTAATGAATAACTGTGGAAAAAGTGTGTACCGTACTTCCCAAACCATCTCGACCCCAAAAGTGTCTAATGGGAATTGGATGATTTGTAATCAAGTTATCATGCTAAATCAATTGAATGGTTGGTGTTTTTTCTTCTGACAAAAAAATTAATCGATCACATGCCCAGTTTATGATACCTACGGTAATGGCTTATTCCCTATATGAAATACCAGTAGGCTATTTAATATGGTGAATTATCTGGCAATCACTCAGTCCTATGTACAAGCACAATTAATTGTGTACCTGTTCAACTAGTCTCTTAGATATTACATGATTCTTTAATCACTATTAAGCCAGTGCTTCAGCAACAGTGATTGCATCAGAATGTGGGGATTTTCTTAGGACTGAAGAAGCAATGCATTTTTTCAATGTATTTTGAAATAAAAAGAGTGTTGAAAAACCAAATTGCTAATCAACACAACCCAATTATATAAATCTAGGTGAAGTCGAGTAAAGTTAGAACAATGTCATCTAATTTCATATTAGTTTTTATCGATAATACACTACATCACAGTTTTAAAGGATTTTTCAAAGTGCTCAAGAAAATATTAATAGTTACCAATTACTAGATATTAACTTAATGTACATTCAAACAATAAATTGATAACGTTTTTACATTTACATCTATGTATAATGTAATTTGTTAATATCATTTATATTTTCTATATTCATAGTGAATATTGAGTAATGCAATCACAGACATCAACCAATGTTTATCATACATTAAAAACTAGAAATGTGTTGATTCTCTTTATCAATTCTCAATATCATTGATTCTTGGACATTGGTATCGATGTTGAGAATCAATCATCAAGATTCGATACTGATACCAATACTCAATAGGTTTCTGAAGTTTGCAAGAAAAATTCATACTTTTGGCACGATTGTTGGTGAGGACAATAATGTTTCTGTGATTACGGCAGGCAATGATGATGTCTACACTGCCTCAGGAGATGATCAGAATTTTGCTACGGTTAAGGATAAAGAAAATAACGTTATAGTTACCGCGGCCGACAATGTTGATGCCTATACAATCGCAGAAGATGTTCATGTTTTTGCCGTGATCATGAAAGATAATGATGATGTTTCCATGACCGATGGAGATATTTAGGATATTGCCGAGATGATCTCAATGTTTCTGGGCCCACTATATATGTTCAATATAGTGCCGCCATAACAAAAGATAGTGATGATGATTCTGTAAAAAATTTTAATCGGCTAGTTAGTTAGCATTTTTCATTGCTGCTTTAATTGGGTGACGTAAATAAAAATTAAAGCAGCAATGAATAATTCTAACTAGCCAATTACAATTTATTACGGGTACAGAACCATCGTCACTGCCTTCCGTTATGGCAGCAAAATGGTTGGGTCGGTGTAGTAAAATAAAGCTATATATAGAAAATTTGGTAGAGTAAAAAAATTATGGTATCAGTATCGAGAATTGATCCATTTTGGTACAGACACAACTCTATTAACAACCTAATATTAACACAAATTGTTTCAAGTATGTGCCACTAACATAGTTTGAAACAATTAAAATAAGTAAAACACAAATTCATCCATGTATATTTCAAAATAACTATACTATAATCCTTACGAAATTAATCAGAAAATAGAAAAAATGTCTTTGAATATATTTACAAAATGTCAGTCTTATACACAAACACAAAAATACAACCTTCTCTTGGCTAAGGTGACATAATAATGGTCTAAGTTCTAATTCTTCCTGCCTTCAAGATAATTTTTCTTCTTAAGATTTTCAATGGCTTAATATATTTAGAACAAGATCCTCTCTTTGCTGCAAAAAATAAAATCCTAAATATTGAATATGGACTATTTAGTTTTAAAATAAATATACAGGTAAAAGTTTGCAAATATTAAAAAAAATGTACAAGGAGCTTAATTCCTATCCTTGTAGATATTAATCCCAATCAGCCAATTGGCCTTTCCTTAACTCCTAAATATTAAAAAAAGCAGTGTGATAATTTAAAAACAAATTTTAATTGTTATTTGATAAAAGTACGAAAAGAACTTGACTAAGTTCATACAACAGCGATAATGATTTTATAAAATTTTAATGATTTTAGACAACAGTTATTGAATAGACATTGTTTCTTGCCTAAAATTATTGCTACTGCTCTACACAGCCACATTTACATTGGTAAATGTGGTTGTCTGACATTCGTTGACGAGTTATTTACATATTTACAACCGGAGACACTATCTATTTACCACAATTAACCCTTGTGGTTGAGAGCTGCATTGCGCGTTGAACGTTTTGCGACCGGAGACGACTTGCGAGTAGTCGTTGTGGGGGCAGGCGCCAAGCGAGCTACAATATACGACGGATTAGTAAACAGAAAGCACAAGGGATGGTGACAGAGACTGGGGAATAAGTTTGAGGGAAGACATTTTGAGGAATAATGCACTGACTCATAACTACTAACTCATTTAAGAATAGGGTTCCAGACAGTTGATAATGCACAAAAAGCTCAAAAAATGAACTTGATATCAAGTGAAACCTCCAAGGGGATCTCCATAAGCACGTGCTATAAATAATAGTTACAGAACTGGAATCAGTCTTGCCAACACAATAGGTAAATAATCATTTAGAATAGCTTTACAAATTACCTGGTATAAAATTTGTTCACCATAAAGCATCACTTCTCGAGTTTTTATTTTATTTCCTTTATAATCGATGAACCAAAGTAGAGGAGTGAATGTTGAGATAAGCAGTTGACTTGAGCGCAAGGGATTTTGATTCCTTGATATTCCTACATAATTTAAATGGGTTTAAACTGCTTTTAATTCATTACTGTAACCAATTGCAATAGGAACAAAGTAAAAATATTAAAATACAGATATTAAGTCTTCGGTTGAATGCAATTGCATTCCAAATAAATAAATTTAACAAATAACCATATTAAATACCTACCAGAATTTCTCCTTGCTACCCTCAGCGTTCGTGCAGTCTCTTTATCTCTGCGCTGCAGCACTTCTTCCATTGCCGGGGTGTTGTATGAAGGTTCTACTGGACTCGGGCAACGGCTGCAGAGCAAACAATCAATGATAAATATCCACTCCAGCGACTTTAACACCGTAACATTCCTGAGCTTACCTCTCAGGCAAAACAACACATGCCTATTGATAAAGTGTTCTATGCAACATGACTTGTTTTCATAGAACTAAAAAAATAAGGTAAATTTGTTCTATGAATATAAATGGAAATTAAACTGTTAGGTCACTTAAATCTTATCTCAAATTAAGATTACTTGCTAAAGCTATACACTGACAATTGCTAAGACTTGCATTCGCTCACCTCGACCAAGTCCCTGAAAGAAAAGTTTGTTAGCAAACCAAGAACCGTTAAAAATAGTTTACCAGACCAGTTACTCACAAAACCTGCAGACAATCCATCTATACCTGGAAAACTAAAAACATTAGTTTCCGAAACTGATTTGGAACCCAAACCCTATACTCACCTTCCCTAAAAAAGGACAAACTTAAAACTGAAAAGGCCTTTACTGACTTACCTCCTCCCTAACAATGACTTACCACATAACTGATGGCTATAAACAGTTGATGAGAGCGAGAAACCAGCAGAAAGCTAGGGAAACAAACACTCAAAACATGGGTTGTAAGAAGAACAACGAATTTTGATGTACAACAGGATTGAACATGCAGACCATAACAGAAACCTGACCGAGAATATAACATAGGCTAATTAACACTTTTATTCCTATCTAATGATACACCTTCAAAAAAAGCAAGGACCAAAAGAAAATACTATTCAAGAACAAGTAGAGCTGTGATTATCGATGAAACGACAATTGGATGACATACCAAACATGAATATCAGGATGAGTGCTTCCTACAAACTTGATGAGTCTGAAATAACAAAAGTGCAACAGAATCATGAAATCAATTTACATGTCACATGATGTTGTACTTACCGGGAAATAAAAATAGATAAAGCAATATGAGAAAGCAAACAAAGAAATCATATTATAAGTGTACACCGCAAGCACACTTCCAACAGTGGGGTAAATTTTGTGTTATGGAATATATACCAGCCAGAAAAATTTACATATATATATTTCCTTTAACTTTTCATAAGGTTAACTATAAAACCAAACTTATTGCAATCCCTATAATATGATGTCCCTGCTTGTTTTCCCATCAACACAACGTGTTGGAAAGGGAATTTCTAAATGAAAAACAAATTTAATTCAATAAATTTGTTTTATTTTAGCATAAAAGTAATAAAATATAAATTTAAGCTAGATACTATAATGAATTTGCTTAACAATACAACCCCCGTGTAATCATAGCCGCAGACCATACCTCTCGCTCCTACTTCGCTTGCCGGATCTGGTGGTTACTACGTCGTCTCTCATACGAGACATGACGGCCAACATGGCTGGAGTGGGATTGTCTAGCGAGCTGTCTGGACTGTGACCCTCAGATTTCTCTAACCTGAGAAAAACACAAGGCATGAAAAACTGTTATATAGGTCAAAGTTTCAAAATATCCACCTATTTTATAAATATTTTTGACAGGTCTTATTCTTGAAGGCATGGCTCGCCACAAATGTTCAAGCACCCCTCTCATAAGAAAAAGTTTCTAAAAATTACATATCTGTTGGATTGGGAAAAGTAACAAATATTCAAATTATTATAAAGAAATAAGAAACCATGTTAACAAAAAAAACAATATATTGAAAAAGTAAACAGAATAAAATAATAACATATGATAAATATACACATATGATTAGGGGTGGGCGAGTACTGTACTCGACCTCGAGTGCGGACAATCGGAGTCGACTAGTTATAAAAAGTGTCACTTCACAATCTTCTACGCCTGTATTTAATAAATGATATTTGTTTTTGTGTTGATGTCTTATTTAATCCCCATTCCTACAAAAAAACAACTATCTAACTTCTTATATAGGCTAGTTCAGCGTAACAATCAAACATCTTTTTTCTCTTATGTTAAACGGTAATGTCTTAGAGTACAATAGGTGGTGAATAGGTATACAACAAATTGGTAAACAATCAGTTAGGCTACTACATTTTATTGGCTTACCTTTTTTAACTATCTAGGTTAGCCAGCTACCCTAACACCTTGGTTTCTTCTTCTGAATTAGAGATATTACATCTTCTCAACTTGATTTTTCTTGTTGAGGATTTAACAAATCTTATATGATACAGCTCTGTTTATTCAGCAAGATTTTGCTGGAGTGCAGTATTATTATTATTTACCTGATGGGAGAGTCTTGCTCCAACTTGTTCGCGGCAGCCGCACAATGAAGCTTCTTCCTAATCATCTTTTCTGGATCACTTGCCAAAACCTTTGCCCAGTTAAACTCATTTTTTGATCTCAACAACGGCAATGTGTTGGCTACATTCCTTGTCATCCTGTAAACACAATCACAATACATTATTGTAACTAACCTTTCAACTCTTTTGACACTAAGCAAGCAGCAGAAATTGGCACATTAGGTAACTACACTTTTAAAAAATTAACCTAACAAATTTCTTTTTAAAAATTTATTGACTGTTATCATTTTAAAATTAAAACAAGGTGTAGAGTTTAAGCGTACCTATTAAGATTTTTGACAACACAGGGCTCTCTCGAGGGCTGGACACACTTCTTTTTGGCACAAACGCCCTTGTTTTCCGGCTCATACAAGGGCTTCCTCTGGAAAACATTCACATAAATTATGTTAGATAGATGTTAATAAATGTCTAACTAAGAACATGTTTACATTATTTATCACATTACTCATTATGAACTCTGTTAATAGAAATAAGAATGTTGTTTAGGGACCTCTACCATGTTTGCATAATTGATAAGATTACCTTGACAGTAACGTGTCTGATAAAGGATAAGACTATCAAATTCATTTGATTATAGTTTGCTCTTTTAAATTAGGAATAAACATTTTTTTTAATACACTACCGATAATAGTTATATTTTTTATATGAAAGGTTTTTTCCCTCTAAACAAACATTCAAGTTTATAAATGAGCTCTGAAAAAAATGTGAAAACAAATAATGTATACCTAAATTGTAAAAATATGAAAACAAAAGTAGGCTTAAAATTAAAACTTGTAACTTTATTTCAAAGATGGTTTCAAATAACATCCTAAAGAATGTTCTAATTTATTGAAACTGCCTCTTCACCTACTAAGCAAATGATCGTTGCACTCTTTGACAGCAAAAAACTTTACCTTTTTGGCTGTCTTTCTGGCGTGAGAATGGAAAGTGAGTTTTCCGTCGTCTTGATACCCAGCCTCTCTGATTGCTTGGCGGAATAAACGTTTGCAGTATTTGTAGTCAGGCTGCGTCTCAAACCCCAGATGTGCCACATATTGTAAGTAGTGATGTAGAACGGCTAGATGGCAAAAAAAGATTGTTATTACATAAGCAACTACTGTTATAAAAAAAGAGGTTTCGTAAAACTTAAAGTACTACCTAATGATAGTTCTACATCAAATTTTGAAAATTAACTGCAAACTCCTTCCAGTTTTAGGAAGTGCACAGGTACTTGCAAATAAATTAATACAGATGTGTAGAACATTAGTAGACAATTAATTAGTAAAATGCAAGTTAAAGGATGAATGAGCTAGGCCTATTACATGATCCTGTACATTTTACTTATATGTTCAATAATTGTTATGTCAACTGCATTCCTAAGTCATGCTCTTTCCTGCAAAAACCTAGGCCAGCTTAAGGCATTATTAGTCTTCGCAAACATTTTAATATGTACCTTATAAAAACACATTTAAATTAATTGTGTTATTGTTTTGAGTGGCATACGGCAGTCTAGTTAGATTTTTTATGAAAGGCTTTGACCCTACAGTACAATCGCTGAAAAATATTAGCATTCCACCTTTTAAAACTGTTACAATAATAACTTTAACTACTTTGCCCTTTTGATTATAGATCAATATAATAACACATCACCCGAAAATCAATTTAGGCAGATGGAAATTTGCTTAGATGGCAGGTTTGCTGCGGCGGGGGTATTTGGTTTCACCATTATTTTTTCAGATACTAAATTGTTATATAGCTAATGGTAGGACTAGTATGGCCAGAGTCAGGCTATACTATTAGAGTGATGTACGCTTACCAGGAGCGTGGTCGGGCTTGAAGCAGTTGTTGAGGAAAGTAGTGATGTTGTTCATGGCTGCTATCTTGGCCTCCTTCACCTCTTCCAGGTCAGTGTTGCCCTCCCAGGGTAGCCTCCCACACAGCCACTGGACCAGGTTGTATCCCAGAATCTCTAGATCACCTCGTCTAGAATGTACTGCAAACAATATACCATAAACATTTTGTCATTAGCGCTAAGAAATTCGTTTTTTTTTTCAGACAAATCAATATCCAAAGCAGGTCTAAATGAGGCATCAGGAGATTTAGGTTATTCATTATGTAATTAGTTTATATATTGTTTAAATAAATATATGGCATATTTATTATCTATAAGTATAAAAGAGGATGTTTGTATATATATATATATATATTTATTTATTTGTTTGGCAGTGATAAACTCAGACACCGCTGAACCGATTGCCACGAAACTTGGTACATACGTGTAGAATTTCATGGAATAGGTTTATACACCATCAATTTCGTGATCCGTCCAATCGGCTCCGCCCCAGTGGCCTGGAGCTTCCCATGTTAGCCTTATGAGAAATGGAATTAATGAATCTTAACAGCTGTTTCAATTAAACAAGTTGGTTCTGTTCTATGATGTTCAATAGCATTAAAGTTACAAGGATTACCAACAGGGTGCAGCACTATTATTTCTTTTACATTTATGACAACAGCTAATTTGCAACCAAAAGGTGAGTGAGCGTAGCGAACGAACTTCAACCTGGAGGCGAGTTAGCATAGCGAACGAGCTACCCTGAGTTAATATATAAATCATAAATATATTTGTATATAAATATAAGAAATATATTTGTAGTAGGTCCTCATTATCCACGATAATGAGTGACTGAAAATCGTGGATAATGCAAACCTAACCTAAAATGACCGGGAAATAGTTAACATTGATATTGTACCCACCTCCAATGTGAGCGTCGCGTGAAGTGAACTCCAGAGTGCCGTCGTGTGCACGGCGCTCGTCGTGCCGGTACTCCTTGTGTTTGCCGTCTCTGTAGAGGTATCGTGTGGCTAGTCCATAGTCCAGGAGATACACTGGTGCCTGACACTCCAGACCTAGCAGTAGGTTCGACCCTTTGATGTCTCCATGAATGTAGTCGTGGCAGTGGATATACTCTAGTGCGTCCATCTACAAAATTGTACTTTTGTTTGGAAGGCCTACTCTTTTTACAAAAACTGGTTTTTAATATAAACAAATAACATTGCAATAATTTAAGATGGTGCAAAAACTGAACAAGTTATTAAAGATTTGACAAAATATTAATAAGTTTTTTTTTCTATGGTGTTCTGCACTTTTATAATGTTTCTAATGTAATCTTTTGCTTGTCGGTTAGCATTCAATAAAGGAAAGCTATTCTATTTTATTTAGCTTACTTACTTAGACTTTACTTTATTCAAGCATATTCATTGTGGCTACGATTGCTACGAATAAAGGAATATTTGAACTAAATTCTTAGCAGCCTCTGTATCAATATTGATCTGAAATGACTAAAAAGCTCAGTAAAAACATCTAAAATCAACTTTTAAAATGTCCTATCTAAATTGGCCTAGTGCTTTATTTTGGCTGCAGACTGATGTCATCACAATTAATTATTGAATACATATAGCAGTTGAAAACATAATGCATAGTTCTTATCTGCGTATGGACACTAGCTGTAGGAGGGTATTAAGTTCCACACACTCAGAGAATAGCTACATTTTACGGTTCATGGTGCTCAGCCTTGGTAACTCTACACCTGTTTCGTCTACAATTACTAACATCTACACACGAGAGACTACAATGTTGTCACAGGCGTTACCTTTCAATTTTTTTCTCTAGAAGTTTGTAACTGTTAATGTATATTTATCTAATGATTCCCTTTCTTCTTGTTTGAAAAAGCATAAAATTAAATAAGACTCTTATAGTGTAATACAAAACATTTAATAGCTTGTTAATGTTAGTAGGCTACCTTGTTTTACACACAGCAGCATTATTATGGGGAGTTATGCTAGAGATTAACTTAATTAAATGAATACAGATATTAACAAATATGTCTAGTCTACTTACAATATATGAGGCCAGTGTAAAAGCAGTCTTGACATGAAACTTTCTACCTTGACGGATAAATACTTTTTCTACATCCAGTCCAAACCTGAAACAAAACTTCCAGTCAATATTTAAAAAGTTTAACATAGTCAATTATATAGGCTACAGGTTATCAGAAATAAGAAATAAATTAACATTGTAGGGGAGGCCTACCAAAACACTGACCAAGAGTATTTGTAGAAAAAGGATGTTCCACAAATAGGTCTGTGTTGTATTACAGTAGAACCTCGCTAATCCGTCACCCACAGGACCGGGAGCATGGTCGGAACAGCAAAGAGGTCGGGTTATCAGAGGAACTTGTTTATTGACATAAAACGTAGTAAAACTGTATTTTGAACAGCCCACAAATAGCTGATAACCACGGATAATCGAACATGACATAAAACAGTTATATCCAACTCATAAACACACCTAATACTAACTGTATAAATGGACTTTAATGGGATAATTTGCATAGTACATTATAAAAATACAATTAGAATGCTATTGCGCTATCATGATAATTATTTTAGGCCTATGTCATTGACCTTGGTTCAGTAATAAAATCTGTAGCGTTTAAAATCACAGCTTTTTCAAACTTTTACTCAAACAAACAAATTACCAAACATTGTACAGCAAAATTAAGAACAGAAAAATAGAAAGTCTAGTAAGCTACTGCTAGTCATAAGCCACTGCTACGCTGTTTCAGGACATAAGAATGTTGATAAAGAGTTTGTCTGACTCTATTCTTTGTAAACAATTTACATGTGACAGAATAAAGAAGTTTTGTATTTGAATAAAACATAGATAACGCATAAAAAAGTATCAAATAATAGTAGCCTAATTATAGCATAACAACAGTTGTAAAATACACTGATTCTTGCGTACTATGATAATATTACTTGAATGTAGCCTACCTACTAACTTTTATTTTATTTGAAATCAGGTACAAAAAATCTTGTTTGGTGTCAAAGTCTTCTAGGGCTTATGACAGATTAAGTTGAACAGACTTAATTAAGAAACATTAGTTCAGACAATTTTGAGATAAATTGGGAAAAATTAAACACACACTAGTTATCATAGTGAACCATGGAACACCTAAGGTATAGCATTTTTAAAGTAGGTAAGCAAGTTGAACTCTCTGTCCTAAATCAGTCCTCACTTCAGTTGAATATTTCACGACTTTAGTTAACTTGTAAAAATTACAGTAAGAGGACACAGAACCTCAAAAAATTAAGAAAAAACAAAATTCCATTTACGATAGGCCTAAAGGAGCACATGCTACATTATCAAGGTTCTACTGAACTAAACGGAAAAAGCATTTTGCTACATAAAGGAGAATCGCCCACCTGGGAAGGACGAGGAACCTATAATGTTCTCCGTCATAATGGTGTGAGCCGGTGCCTAGGAAGTGGGGCATCCCTAGAGCTCTCATGTTGCGACGAGCCACCCACTCATTGATCATTTCCATTTGAGCTGTTCGGATGTAGAAGTTCTTCTCAACAAACAATGGACCATTGGTGTGCCGTTCAACTTTAATGACAAAAGGAGCATCCTCTCTAACTGGTTTGTTGACTTCGTCTGAAGCTGTGAAGAAAATACAGACTCTGTCAATAAATTGATTGTTCTTTAGAAAAAGAATTTGATGAACCCTTTTGTTTTAAGAAATTTATAAAGCAATCACTTTTTAGAGATGTCCAAAATTGAACATGGTGTTTCAACCTGTACTTGGCAACGTTACTTTTAATATAGGCTATTCACAGTTCAAATCTTTTGGATTTTGTGTACTATTTTGATACATACCCTTGGCATGTTTTAAACATGGAATGTTCTTATAACTAGATAGAAGGTGGAATGGGTTAGTTAACACCATATGAACACTGAATCAACTTTTCCCATGCAGCCTAGGTTCAAATTTACATTTTCAAGGTCATAAGGATCAGAACTAAGTTATTTGAGCTTTACCCAAGTAAATCTCTCCAAATCCTCCAAGCCCAATAGACCTTCCTAGCCGCCAAGTCTTTTGTGCTGAGTCAGTGAGTAGTTCTCCTTCACTAATGGGGTCAGGCAGACGGACACCATTAGGAGCTATCCTCTTCTTGGGTACTTCTTGAATAGGAATCACTGGTTTCTTAGGTGCCATGTAGCTCAGTTGTTTAAAACACTGAAACAGCAACACTGCTCTTATTTAACCACAAAAATAAGACAATACTAAAAACTAACAGTAGGCTATATTTTTTGCCATCTCTCTTTTATGTGGGTCAATCCGTTTAAATAATTTAATGCCAAATCACTAGGTAGACCCTACCATTAGGCCTATTTGAAAATTAATTTTTATTGTATCTTGCGACTAGTTTTAAATCTTTAACAAACGGTATGCCAGGCTTGAGCCTATGTCAAACACACAAACACCATAGTTTATGTTGTGTAAAATTCAATATTCACCAAGTTGGTCCAAGCCATTAGGAAAATAATGACAAGGTTAAAAAAATGTCAAAAATGGACTAGGTTCAAAAGTCAAAAATATATGTGACACAAATTTATTAAATATAGTAAGCCTATGTCAGAGATTAACTTAACCCTTACCGCGCTACAGATATGTCGGGTGGCCTTGACTGTAACGCTATATATACCTAAAAAATACATTTTCCAAAAAGTCAAAGCTGAATATTTTTTTTATAATTATAACAATATAACCAACGTAATAAGCCAATATAATAGCGAACGTAGCAGAGAACGAAGTTTTCTGTGGAGTCTGCGAGCTAACCAAACACTTGCGAGTTAGTTCGTTCACAGCGCTGGCGTCTCTCATAGCAAAGACCGGCAAGTGTAGGGCGCCGCCATTTTGAACAATTAGAGGGCGGGGAACGTTGTTATTGTGATTTTCCATCACGTGATTTTAAGTTCTCCAATAGCTGCTGCACTCTATCGGCAAAACTGGGAACTACAAGGACCAGCCAATGCACTCTGTATTAAAGGCGAGTATAGTCGTCTATGGCGTTTTGAGCAAAGGGAATTTCGACGAGTATATTCTTCTACAGCGCGGTAAGGGTTAAGACTTCTTACTTCTTGGTTATATGTTTATCTTATTTTCTGATTACATTTTGTCGTAACTTAAATTAGGCAATATAGCCAAGAAATAATTACAGTTTGGGAACACTCAATGAAAACTGAACCAATTAAGTTTTTAAGCTAATTAAAGTATGCCTAATGATAGTTAAAGATATAACGAGGGAACGATTTCAACAAATTTAACTGTTACGGCCTCAATAGGTTACCTTAAACCCCAGCTATTATTTTTTAAATTTAGCTACCGGAACATATTATTACTGTGCTAGATAAACCTTAAGGTAGGTAGACGGCAAGTAAGAAGTGACTGTAACCGCACACTGACACTGTCATAGCTGCAACAGTACACCGCAGTTACCGTACACGTATACGTTTGAAGGGACATTAGCTGTCTGTGTGACTGTCACGCCGTAACTTCGTTGAAACCGTTACAGGCCATCATGGTTTGATCGACACGTTACAGCATTGACTATTACAGATATTAAAAGGAAGTTATGTCGCAACAGGACTCACATAGTCTATTCAGATCTTTTTTCTTTTAACTGAACACTTTATATTGTTATAGGCCTACTTCAATTCTTGTTAGGCTATTATAAATGATAAAGACATTTTGGTTCTTTCCTGTTAAAGAGAACACTCATTATTATAAATGAATTTTTTTGATAAATCGATATTTTATTTTTTGATCCGATATATCAATATTTTAAACATCTTTGCCACCAAGACTGATATTCGATTGTTTTTCCTTTTCTGTCAGATTTTTTACCAAATTCAACACGATGTTTTAAAGGATTTGATGGGTCGCCGGATTTCTACCCCCGGATATTTACCCCCATGAAAAAACGCCTACGTCATTTTGACGTCATGAGGGGCGGGGCTTATACACGTTTGAGAAACAGCCCGCGACTGGAAATCTACCCCCGGCCATCTACCCCCAGACATCTACCCCCGGACATCTACCCCCGGACATCTACCCCCGGACATCTACCCCCGGACATTTACCCCCGGACATCTACCCCCGGAAATCTACCCCCGGAAATCTACCCCCCGTGGTCAGCTCTGCCGTGTATCGGCCAATATCCATTATGTTGTATAATTGATTTTATAAATTGCTTTACCTTCTTATATCCAGTAGTAAACATGCGATATGTCGATGTCTGTTTTAACATTATCCATATTTATAATTCAATAAGTTGTAAAAAAAAAATATAGTTGTAAAAAATATATTTAGCAAACAAAAACAACAACACCATCGGTGACTCATGGAGCCAGTCTATGTGCTACGTGACTGTTCGGGCTTTAACTGATTAGGCCTAATAAGGATTTTGCGGGGGAGGTGTGAGATCTAAATAATGTTCAATCGATTCCTAGAAAGATGCACGCAAGGTACTGTTACTCCCAAAGTTACCGGCTGGCGATAACACATATTTCTCTATAAAAACAAATGCACCCGAAGAAAACTCCGTGGTGTCACAGATGAAGGGTTAAATGCGTTTTAAGATAAAAACAGAAGTGATATGGATCGTTTCAAAAGAAAACATCGATAATAATTAAATTAATGTTCCCTTTAACAGGAAAGTACCAACATTTTAAATTATAATGTGTTTTTTTTTTTTTATTCCTTGAAAAGGTTTGATCCCTCTCAGTTACTAACATTTGGCTGTTAGATAATTCCATTCTCATTATGTACAGTAGATCTAACTCTCTACTTGAAATGCCGTCCCTGACTGAGTAAATGTGCAAGTAACCATTCAATCATGAGCTTAAAGTTGTTCAATGTATTGCACTCTGGGTCAAGAGCGTTGTTTGAGTTGATTTTTAAAGATCTGCTATATAACTAACTGGGGCTTGTTGTACATCCTTGTTATGTGATTAAATACTTTTTGTTAAGTAAAAGTTGTTAAGTTTAGATGTTTTAATAGTTTATCTAACTTAGTACATTCCACCCAGCCTATAGCTTTCTTTTTTACTAATAAATTGTTATCTGTTATTTTATTGTCTGTTATATTAACTTATTAATCTAGTCTGGGTTACTGTGTAACCCTATGTTACCATAACATGTGACCATGGTAAAAGTTATTGCAAGATTGTTTTGCTTAAGAACGAAAGGATTTCTGATAATACCAAAAATAAAAGGGGTTTTTTTATTGTATTTAGGCTAGTTGTATTATCAGTCAAGAAACAAGAATAAGGTACCTAACGACCTAACTTAACTTAGTCTAATAATAAGAGATTGAACTTTTACTACTTATGTTATATTGAATTTGTTTACCTTTATCTTCCAAAATTAACTTAGGCTACCTATTTTAAGAACTTTCTTCCTTTGACACTTTTGAAGAAAACGCCTATTTCACCCTGAAAATTGTGTTTGAAAATCGAGAAAAGCGCTAGAAATTGGCAATTTTAGGTAGGGCCTACTAACAACTTTTTTTTTCTTTTAATGGTAGGCTTATCTTTCTTATTGTTTCGGCCATTTCAATCACTTTTTTTGTAGGTAAGTAGCCTACTGGTAAACACCTAAGTTAGGCTATTTCACCCCGAAAAACGCATTTGAAATATGGAAAAGGGTAACACATTATTAACGCAATATGTGTGTAAAATCACTAAATATCGACACACATTTGACCGTCAAGTGTCAATAACTTAATACTAACCTAACCTAAACTTGGTATACCAAAATCGGTCATTTTTGACCCTTTGCTAACCTAAACATGGGTTAGGTTGGATTTAGTTATGTTGGATTACATGTAACACATTCGCTACCTACCGAGCGTCGCATATAGGCCTATGCGACACCACAATCATTGCCATGGACTGAGGTCGGCTGTAGGTATAGGTAACTAGTTATATTTATTTTGTTTAATGTTTTTTTAATGTTTCATTCTTTTATGTATTTATTCGTGTCCGTATTGTGTTTATCTTCTGACGATGTTAACAACTGATCAACTCGACACTAAGTATGTACCTGAAGCTGACGATGGTGTTTTAACACCGAAACATGTCCTGAATAGACATATTTTATTGAGCTGTGGCGGGAATTACGTAAGTAATTTAGTCTTACATTATTATTTTTTATCTAAAAAATAAATTTATAGCCTAAGTTAGCCTATCACCTAAGTTAAGTTACTAAGTTAAATGGATCAGGAGGGTATGTCTGTAACTAAATGCTAAACAGAAATACCTAAACGGGTTACTGTCACCTAATTTATAATTACCAACCAGTCAAGGAACGGTAGAACGTTTTACTGAAAAGTAGACGTAATTTCCATCCTTAGCAGAGACTTGCTCATGGGAGTAATCACGGTCATGTGAGACGATTACCGAAGACGCAGAGATTGCAAGTTTTGCCGTTGTTGCAAGATACGATTATACCGATAACCCGAGGACTGTGTCCGCCAATAAGGAAATACGGCCCTGATCCCACCTTTTGGTTCCCCGACCATGGCCGGGGTCTGTCATGGTCGGATATGAGGGGTTCTACTGTACAATATTCTAAGCCAAAGGCCTCTGTTTTGTGAAATTTAGGACGTCTTCCATAGGCTATCAAAGAAACCATTTGTTCCCTTGATTATGAGGTCTAGGACCCATGTAGGCCTATAAGTTATGTATAAGTTAATTCTAAAAGAATAATAAAATAAAGTAGCCTATAGTAAAAAAATAAAATAAAGAAGAATAAAAACTAAGCCTAGCCTAGGTCTAGTAAACACTGATAGCCTATAAGTTAACATGGTCTTAACCATTATAAGTTACCATTTGGCAACATGACTAGAGACTTAGGCCTACCTCAAAACTAAGACTATGTACAGACCTACGCTTTGTTCATCAAACTTCATTTCAACTTTCTCTTTCAAAGCCCATTTGAAAATCTAGCTTAGTAGCTTACTTTTGACATCTAACTTATAATAGAACAGTAAACTCATTCATGTAGCCTGAGCACAGCAATAGTAATTAAAAATAAAACTATTCTAAACGAGATCCTAAAGAATAAACCTATAAAACCTCTCATATTCGCGAAAACAGCCAGTTATTTAACTGGAATATGACTCCCTAAAAGTACATTTAAAAATCAATATTTTACTTACAGTTTAGAGAGAAGTACACCATATACTAACAATTTAGAAACTGTACGTTATAAATATAGTAATTTTGACGTTGTTCTCAAACAATTTCAAGTGCTCTAACCATTACAAAACAATATAACTTAACAATCACTTTTCACCGGATCATATCACACACAAAGTACGTGAAATCTGTTTTGCTCTAGAAAATGGCGACGACGACGACACGAAACGACAAGAAACGACTCCCGACGAGATAGAAGAAGAAGATTACAAGAATTTGACGCCTGCTTCTTGACTACAAACTGCTCAGATTTCCTTCCACTGGTAATGATCTTGACTGGTTTGAGGCCAACAAGTTTTTAAAACGATATACGTACACAAATAAAACCTAAATTTGTTTATTTGATTTACAATGGCAAATGGGATTATGAAAACGCGATTGACTACCTACCTATATTTTATTTATACCTTCTATAGATTCAATCAAACACCCATTTAAAAACATACTTGATACTTATTTTTTTTCAATCTGGTTTTTTTTTGTAGGTGGTGACGGTGGCGCTTTTCTGTTCACAATTTTTGTTTATTATTAAACAATAATGTTGAGGTGAAATAGCTGTATGTAGCAAAATATTCCATAAATCATTGCTTCTCTCATATTACAGTAATTATAGCCATTGCCAAAACCATAGTTTAGATAAAACCAGATAAAACATTCCTCCTTTAAGTTAGTCCCTTGCGTTGTTTTTCCAGCCAAATTATATAACCCCAAGAGTAAAGTCTGTTCCGTTGGCTCTGGTTCAAGGCATAACAAATCAGCCAATTGTTGGTACACCCCTGAACTGAGGAGGACGAGAAATTACATGGCTTTTGTTCATGACCTGTATAAGGGCTCCAGTGATATGTGTAGGAAAGGGCAGCTCTATTCTCTTTATTTGGAGATCAAGATGAACTATAGGGTTAGAGTCAATGTGGCCAAGAAATCCTTTAATGCAGAATCCATCCTTAGTGCCCCTAACCCATGTAAAGCTGCGTGGGACATTATCAATAAAGAAAGAGCGCCAGGTCCCGGGCCTAAAATCCAAGCATCCCCTGATGAGTTAAATGAATATTTTACAAGTGTGGCTGGAAACATCATCTCTGATCTACCTGTGTTGCAGACGGATCCTCTGGATTCTGTGCCGGACTACTCCTCCGTCCATTCATTTACCTGCTGGAATAGGGTGAGTGTAAGAGAGATATCCCAAATGATTAAGAATTTCAAAGACTCCAAGAGCCAAGATGTCTATGGCCTTTCTACACATGTTCTCAGGGCTGTTGCAGATCTCGTGGCCGTTCCTCTCACGCACATGGTCAACTTGTGCCTGGCTCATGGATCTTTTCCGGGCTCTCTCCCAGACAGCACACTTTCTCCTCAGGACATCCCACGGATATTGCGACAGGATATGCAAGATATCCCATAGTGGTCCTATGGTCAACTTGGGATATCACAGGATATCCACAGGAATGCGTAATGTCCCCGCCCGGGGATGTCCTACGGATAAGCTCACACGCATATCCGTGGGACATCCGAGGTCATCCCAGGGTTGTCCTCAGGACATTCTCAGGACATATGGGACTACTATGGGATGTCCCTGGGATAAAGTGTGGTCTGGGCCTGAACATAAAAAACACAAAATAATATAGATTTAGTATGAAAAGCTTAATTATAAGTTTAGTAAATTGATTAAATAGTTAATAAACACAAATTTTGAAGAAAAAAACGAGAAAAAAGTTTTTGGCCCAGACGGGTTTCGAACCTGGTACCTTCGCCTTGTGAGCCTCTTACCTTACCTCCTGAGCTATCTGCGCTTGTTGATTATGGGTGTTTTCAAGTTGTTAAAGAGTAGCCAACAGTTGCAATGGTCGCAATACTTAAAATATTTTTGATACTACAGTATAGGCTATATATGATTCTGTTAATCTGTTTAGGCCTCAAGTAGTTGAATTGTTTTTCTGGTAGTTGGAGAGGATACTGGTATTTGAATATAGATTATTTAATCACCATTAGATTAGCACTGTAATAATTGATTGTTATATGATTAAAATTAGTTTTTTGTTGTTTTATTAATTTAAAGTTAGAATTAAATTCACATTTCACACAACTATGATAGAACTCTAGTTTTCCTGAACTCTGTGGTAGTAATATGTCAGTAAAGTAAAGTCAACCCTTGCTAGCCATAGTATTAACAAGACATATTTTCAATCTGGGAAACCTTAAACTTTTAAAATAAATTATAAAACCTCAACATCTTAATGCGTGGGAATCTTATTTTTAGAAAAAAAGAAACAGACCAAAATTATTTGTTAAATAATGAAGACGGCCCAATTATAAATTCGGAATTACTGAAAATAAATACATCAAGAACAACACTGTAACATATCCAAAATTCAAAAGATTAATTTTTCTAATATTATTTTTTATTTTTCCAATATCCTTTAAATCATCTGTTTTAACTTTGTTTAAAATTAATTTATTAAGTAAATATTTACTTTCTGTACTAGTGTAAACACAGCCTGAAGATGGAAACCAAGTTTCTGAAAGCACTAGTGAAAAAAACAAATTATTATATATTGGCCTTGTTGAACATTTAAATTTAGATATACTGTACATTTCATCAGTGGTAGTATTTTTTCTTCAGTTTGTTACCGGGACATTACGGGACATTACAGGATATCCAGTGGATTTTTTACATGTCCCGGGATGTCATGGGACATTCTGGGATATCCTATGGCATTCGTACATATCCCGGGACTTTACAGGATATCCTGAGGTTAACTTACAAATCTCGGGACATTACGGTATATTGTAGGATATCCTGTGGATTTCGTACTCGTCCCGGGATTTTGCGGGATATCCTGAGGATAGCGCACATATCCCGAGACATTCTCAGGACATATGGGACTACTACGGGATGTCCCTGGGATAAAATGTGCTGTCTGGGAAAGAAGGCCCGTACTGTGCCCATCTTCAAGAAAGGGAACCCTACACTGATGGAAAATTTTCGCCCCATTTCTATCCTCCCTATCTTTTCTAAGGTGATGGAGACTGTGATGAAGAGACAACTCCTCTCATACTTTGAAAATAATGGCCTACTGGTGGACTCACAGCATGGCTTTCGTAGTGGTCGATCTATTACCTCCGCACTCCTGAGCCTGGTCGACACCATATCCCAGGCCTTTGAGGAAAATGAATCGGTCCACCTCAGCCTTTGTGACCTCAGCAAGGCTTTCGATGTTGTGTCACATGGCATCCTTCTGGCCAAGCTGAGAAAATATGGTATCGGTGGCGCAGTTGTCTGCTCTCTTGCAGACTACCTTGGCAACCGCAAACAAATAGTAACAATTATGGGTGCTTCTTCTATTATAGGCTCTCTTCCCCATGGAGTTCCGCAGGGATCGGTCCTGGGCCCTCTTCTTTTCACAATAATGATCAATGACCTTGCTACAACCAGCCATGCCCTCCTTTTTGCAGATGATACCACCTTGGTCACAAAGGGGAAGAACATCGACCCGCTGCTGGAGGAGGAAAACAACACCCTGAGGCTGGCCAAGGACTGGTTTATAGCCAACAAGCTTAAGATCAACGAGGAGAAGACTCAGATCCTTTTATGTTCCTTGAAGATCGGTCTTGAGGAAAACAGCGTGAAGCTGCTTGGGTTCTGGATGGATTCAAAGCTAAGTTGGCACCACCATATTGAAAAGGTATGTGTAAAGCTCTCAAGAGTTCTCCACCTTTTAAGGAAGCTTAGGACCACCATTACGTACCAGACCGTATTTGCTAGCGGTGTATCATGCGCTGTTTCACAGTCACCTCACGTATGGCCTGGTTCTGTGGGGCCATTCTCCATGGACACAGGAATTACTTCTGCCCTACAGAAAAAGGCGCTGAGGATAATAACATCTCTGGCTACAAAGCGCACTGCCGTCCCATCTTCCTGGAGCTGGGTGTGTTGACTGTTTATAGCCAGTATGTCCTCAATGTCTTGATCCTGCTGAAGGTTAATACCCACCATTTTGTTGTGAGAGACAATATTCATAGTCACCATCATCCCGTCAAGCTTGTGACATTGATTTGCCGAGATGCCGCCTAGCCCGCTCACTGAAGAGCTATCCTCGGTCTGCGATAAGGTTTTTTAATTCCTTGCCGGTGCATGTACGCGACCTCTGGACCTAGACGATTTTAAGACGGCCCTACGTGACAGGCTGGTAGATAGGCCTCTTTACAGCCTTGAAGAGCTAGGCAACGAGCCACTTGCCACAGTGTAAATAGTGTGTAAATAGTTTTCTCAGTATTAAGTAAATATGACGCAGTCATACCGATATCATCGGTCAACGACACAGACTTCAAGTATTCAAGTATTCAAGTTGATTAGTCTGTGTTATAACCAAAGCAGAGTAAGCCTTTGTCAACGAGAAAAAACTCCAGTATTCAAATTAAGCCCTTCTCTGGACGCGGAGAAGAATCGGTGAGTAGTGGAGTGATAAGATTAATGGTAATGGCAAAGCACTAAATTTACTCTAAAATATGAGAAAACATTTATTCATTAACGGCCCACTACGATTCCAAACTTAAACCAGTATACTAGCATACTATTACCACTATTACCTTATTACCTAGTATACTAGTATACTGTATATATATCTGTATATTTTTCAGATTACGAAATGATCTGTTGTTCAATGACTGTTCAATGAAATGGCGACCATATAGTAGGTATTTTAAGCCAAGTATGAATGAAGATGAGTGTAGGATGAGTGGCGCGATCTTGTAGTCTTGTTTGTGAATACGGCCGGGGCCGACATTCCTTAGACACAGCTGTTAATTAATAGCCCATACAGCTAATGGCAACTAAGGGACCTACAGTTCATTGTGGAATCCCAACCACATTTTCATTGGTATATTCGAATTGGTCATCAGGATAGTACTGCGGATCATGGTGAAAGGAAAACATGGTGTTTTTCCACCATGGCGCTATTTATCCATTCTACTAGCGCTATTTAAAGTCAAAATCCATATCTATAATCATTGGTAAAACATCTGTTCACTCCTTTCATGTCCTGAAGTCTGGCATCCGTCTCTTTCTTTACTCTTTTTTCTTTTCTCTCACTCTTTTCATTTTCAGGCTGTCTCGTCTCCTCATCTCAGTGATGGGCGATACGGGTCAATGC